AGGAAGTGATGACAGAAGAATGGACATGACTGATCACAATGGCAGATGCCATCTCTTGGTATGAAATCTACTTTGAATTAACTCTTTCTCTTTTTCTCAAGGGTTGATTTGATATATCTTTAACGCTACCGCCCCTGGTGTGGTGGTTTTATCCAATTTGGATCAAATATAAATTTTTTATTTTAATTTCCTCTTTTCTTCATTGAATTAAGTCTATTGTTATGCTTTCATTAATTAGGACACGCATAGAAATTTGAATACTTTAGCATGGTAACAAAAAATAAATAAATGTTATATGTTATCTAAACAAAAAAAGAAATAAATAAAAGTTTTCCTTCTTATAAGAGGCTTTTTATTAGGATAATACTAGACTTACCACATTTTTATACTATTGTAAAACAAAAGAAGACTTCAACATTCGAAAAGACTGTAAGAATTAAATCATATCCGACTCAAAATATGATGAAACTCGACTAGTAAAATGATACTATATCAACTAGGTACAAAAACAGATGCATTTAAATTATGGTGCAAAGTAGTAGTTGTGTGTGACTTCTCATTTTCAGACATTGAAACTAGTATTCAAATATTCATGGTTTGTAAGGGAGTTGTAGATGCTGTGTTTGATGGATAAACATGATGTACACATAGTTATTTTGTGAAATAGAATGTGTAATTATTTGTTGTCAAGTATTGAATTTGTTTTTGCCGCAATGATTGTATGAAAACAAATGTGACCCTAAAACTACAAACAAAAACAAAGAGAGAAAACTGCAATTGGTGATGAATTTTTAGTGACCAAGAGAGATAGCTCACGAATCAGTGCACGACCATATTTTAATGACCAATTTACAAATGTTAGTGACCCAATTATTGACCTCTATATGCAAATAATAATCACAAATGGCACCGTTTTTAGTGACCACCCAAAGGTGGTCTCTAATAGTTTGTGTTTTAATGACCAGATTTTCAGCGCGCTGGTCACTAAATGGAATTTGTGACGAGCTTCTACCAAGTGACCACAAATATTTGGACACTAATTGCATTTAGTTAACATAATCGGTACTTTTTTGTGACCAATTGGCTGACCACAAATATCTGTCTTTCTTATAGTGGTAGCTGGCCAAGAGAGGAATTGGAGAAGAAAAAATATTTGGACACTAATTGCATTAATATACTTATGACATATAGAAGAAGAAGAAGAAAATACAGAAATATATAATACATAAGATTCAGATTCAGAGAAAGGAATGCAAAGAAAATGGGTGGCCATGCATCCCCAAACCCTTCCGATGGGTAATAGTATGGGAAACTCCAAGCCTCTCCTTTCTTTCTCGCTTTTTTTGTTCTTCCTTCTCGTGCCTTCTTTTTCACTCAGCCAGCTTGCTTCATCTTATTTAGTTTTGCTTATTCACCTATAATTTATATAAAAGGAGTAGAAGAACAAGAACAAGAACAAGAAGAAATAAGATGGTCAACGACTTTTTGTAGTTCATGTTGCCAAAGTCGGTAATCCCAAAACGACAGCATCTGTTTGAAAAAATAAAATTGTCATCAGTGTCGAAGTTTGTACCCGAAGCTCCATCCCCGAAGTTCGATATTCCAGACTCTTTGCTATTATGTCCGATGACTATATTCCCAGAAGTTCTGAAGGTCGGGTTGCTTTCACATCTTTATTTCCAGAGCCACGACGGCGATTTCTTGCCCTCTCCTTCTGGACCTTGAGCAGTTGTTCAGCTTGATCTCGATTCCAATCTTATATATATGTTAAGAAAAAAATGGAAAGGATCTTCAAATAAGTGGACTTTGGGCAAATGCTCCAAAATCAGTTAAAAGACAATCTTTCAATAAATGGAACTTCAGTTGAATCAAATAAAAATATTAATCATAATAGTACTAGTACATATGCTACTACAAAAAGTGAAAAAGACGACCAGAAAAACACGACGGTCTAAGTGAAAACCGTCGTTGTTTTTTAAAAGACGATGGTTTTATAAAACCGCCGTGTAATAACACATTAGACAACTAAAAAATGGAGTTTCAAATGGCTGTTCCTAAAACACGACGTACTTAATTAAAAAACCGACGTCTTATTGAAATAGGATTTTCAAGAGGTAAAATCATAGCCAACAAATAACGGCGGAAGTTATGAACCGACCGACGTAGAAAGTAAAGACGACGGTTTCAAAAAAAGCCGTCGTTTTTACCCAGAAATTAACACGACCAAGTTTTCGTATAAGGCGCCGTATAATTACAAATAAATCCACGGCGGTAAAATACAAAATACCGCCGTATTAAATTAATGTACAACTACGGCAAAGGTAAATATAACGACGTCTTTCTCGTATTTCTACGACGACATCTTTAAATCTTACCAAGTTGGGGTTTTCATATAACGACGTATTATAGAATTTAACGTCGTATTTGTCCACTTTATACGTCATACATTATATTTAAACCGTCGTCTGAATAAGAATTTTTTTTAACAATTTATTTCTTGGATTTTGTTATCCTACGTCGGTAGATCTACTTAACGACAAGAATTGAAATAACCACGACGGTTTATATAGAAAACCGCCGACATAATCAGATTATTCTGAGATCACAAGGGTTAGGAAATCTTACAAGATGGAACTCTGTTGCTCATCATAATCTTACCAGAAAGACAATATTTTAGAGGTTAATGATGTATGTGTATTTGTGTCTTTGAGATACACAAACGCACATACACATTAACATCCAAAAAATTGCTTCTGAAATTTGACGACGGCAGCCTCAGATTTGCAATCAGAGAGACAATTTTTTGGAAGTTGATGATATGTGTGCGTTTGTGTATCTACACAAACGCACGCACACATCAACATCCAAACAATTGCCTCCTAAAATTTCACGACGGCAGCCACAGATTTGCAATCAGAGAGACAATTTTTTGGAAGTGAATGATGTATGTGTGTTTGTGTATCTACACAAACGCACACACACATTCACATCCAAACAATTGACTCCTAAAACTTCACGACGGCAGCCACATATTTGCAATCAGAGAGACAATTTATTGAAAATTGGTGATTTGCAATCAGCCACAGATGACCAACATTCAAACAATTGCCTCCCAAGAGATGAGGTGAGACAGAGAAAGGGGCAAGAAGAAGTTGAAACCCTAATCGAATACTAAAACTGAAAGAACCCGTGGAAAAAAACCCTATTTATAATTAAAAAAACCAAATCCACGTCGGTAATATTACACATAACGACGTTTAACAAAAATAATCCTCGTCGGTAACAAATACATTACATCGTTTTATTCTTACTTAAGACGACAAGAAACGACGACGGTATAACAAAAACAGTCGTTGTTTTATATTTTTATTTGATTTAAATCAGTCACCTAGAAAAGAAACTTTACAAATTCTAGAACATTAATTTCCTCGGGAAAAAAAACTATATCTATAAGGCACTGTTTTTGAAAAATAAACTATAAGAAAAAGGGGAAAAAAATTATATTTATAATAAAAAAAAAAAAATCCACGTCGGTTATATTACACATAACGACGTTTAAAAACGAATCCACGTCGTGAAAAAAATAATACGTCGTTTTAGTTTAGTGTTATCCACGTCGGTATATTACAATAAAACGACGTATATTATAAAAATAAACGTCGTAAATTTAAAACAACCGTCGTGTTAAATATTTCTACCATGACGCGAGATATTGAGTTATCGACTTTTATTTAGGAGTTTACTACGGCGGTACCTACAACACTACTGTCGTATTTATGTACCACGTCATAAGTTCAAATTAACGTCGTAGTTTGTCTATTAATACGTCGTCGTTCTATGTAAACCGCCGTCTTATTACTATGAAACGGTTTGTATACATATACAACTTTTCGTCTACCTGACTTACACATGCACTGTTTCCAAACCCAAGAAAAAATTTCAATCTCCCAGAGAAAACTTTTCGTCTTTTTTCCTTGTCAGAGCACTGTCAGAGTATCTCATCGTCTTCCTCTTGTCTTCGTCGTCGCCTCTGAACTTAAACACCAAAATCCGAGAGAAAGCTTTCATTGCACGCAAAAGGTAAGCTTTCATTTCTCACTATTTTTGTTGCTATTTTGCATGCTCATACTGTTTTTGTTTTGAAAATCTTTTTACCTTTTTTCTGGCGAAAATCATTTTTATTCTTTCCAAGTTTGATAAAATACACAGACAGAGAGGGAAAGTTTCAACTTTGAACACAACTAATTCAACTAAATAAGACGACGGTAGCTTTTTATTTACGTGGTTAAATATGTAGACCACGACGGTTCGTCAGTCGTCCTAGCGTCGTCTTAAAATTGATCTAAGTTGTTTTTAAAATGACGGTCAATTTTTTATTTGCTTGTTTAGTTGCAGGTTTGATTTCTCTGAACCATGGTTTTCGTTTTTCCTAATTTGATAAAATACAGAGACAAAGAAAGTAGGGTTTGGTATCTTATATAGACGACGGTATCTTATTATTGACGCCGTGTGAATGTTCATACCACGACGTTATACTAAGATACCGTCGTCTATAAAAAGATGCCAAAGCTTTTTTTCTTTGTATTTTATCAAATTAGGAAAAACAAAAACCATGTTTCAGAGAAATTAAACCTGCAATCAAACATTCACAGAGAAAGAAAAATGTTTTTGGTTTCTTATAAATACGACGGTAGCTTATTATTCACGTCGTGTGAATATCCATAACACGACGTTAAATTAATATTTACGTCGTGTTAATATGAATATCACGACGTCGTGTAAATATCGCCGTAATAAGTTCTTATTACGTCTTATTTAATATTGTTTCGTCGTTGTTTAAACATTTATATTGTTTCTTCTTTAAACATTTATTACGTCTGATGTTATGTTATTACGTCGTGTAAAATCTTATCATACGTCGTAGTTTATAAATAACCGTCGTTTGTGTTCTAATTTTTTCCCGAAATATTTTCACTTGCAGGTTTGTTTATTCTGTAACCATGGTTTCTCAAGACCAAAGTAAGTACTCTGGCTCCAAAAAAAATGGAGGTAAGGAGCTTGGAATGGTAACTCCTCAAGACAAGCCCTTGAAGAAGATGAAGTTTGTTTCATCTGCTGAGACAGAACCAAGCAGCACGACAACAATTTCTGAGGATTCAAAGTCAGGTCGAGGTATGAGCACAATGCCTCGTGTTGTGAAGAGAAAATTGCAGAAAATCAAGCCAGTTGTTGAGTACAATAAAAGGGGAAAGGATGTGGCCCTGCACATACTGAGATGCAGTCCTACATTGGTGTGTTGGCACGCTCCAGAGTCCCACTTGTGGACAAGAAATGGGCTGAAATCCCCAATGATATAAAGGAGCAGATTTGGGAAGCCGTTGACATGGCTTTTGTGGTAGGTCAAGGGGGCAAGACCTCGGTGTTATCTTCTGCTGCCAAGAAATGGAAGGATTTCAAGTCTACACTGACGAGGCATTATATCCTTCCATACATCAAGGAGAGGGAGAAATTAAGCCAACCCCCTGAAGTATATAAATTCATAGAGAAAGCAGAATGGGATGCCTTTGTAGCTTCAAGGTTATCCAAAGAATTTGAGTCTGTGCATTCTCAACATTCACAGATTAGGGAGAAACTTGAGTACAATCATCGATTGTCTCGAAAAGGATATGCTGGTTTGGAGGATCAATTGGAGGAAACCATGCCTGGGGTAGAAATTGATCGATCTACCTTATGGAAGAAAGCTAGACAGGACAAACATGGTAACATCCCGGATCCAAAGGTGGCAGAGAAAGCAAAATTAATTGTAAGCCTACACACTCTGTTTTAAATTTTTATTAAACTGTGTATAATTCTTATTACGTCTTATGTTATATTTTTCCGTCGTGTGAATGATTTTACTACGTCGAAATATTTTAAAAAACGTCGTGAAAGATCTAAATCTGGAATCACAACTCTGTTTTCTGTAATTATAGCATAAGACGTCGGTGGTTAATTTTTTTCGTCGTGTTAATGTTATTACTACGTCGAAATGTTTTCAAAAACGTCGTGAAAGATCTAAATCTGGAATCACAACTCTGTTTTCTGTAATTACAGCATAAGACGTCGGTGGTTTATTTATTGCGTCGTTTTAAACAACTAACCACGTCGGTTTTAATTAACGTCGTTATAAATATATTATAACGTCGATTTCTATATTGGTGCGTCGTGTGAAATTATATAATGCGTCGTTTGTTTATAAATAACCGTCGTGTGTTTTCTTGTGCTGACTTTTTTGTATGTCTTTGTTTTAGGATGAATTGCAAAAACAAGTGGCTGAAGGCAGTCTGAGTTTATCTGGCAGTAATGATGTGTTGACCTTGGCTTTGGGTCCCGAGCATCCAGGGAGAGTAAGAGGGGTAGGTGCTGGGATTTCCCCTAGGCAATTCTTCAATTTACCTAGACCACAGAGGGTAAAGTTTGCTGATCAATTGAAGGAAAGTGTAAGAATTGTCCTTCAAGAAGAGACTAAGAAGATGGAAGCTAGAACCAAACAATTAGTAGAGGCTGAGAGGGAACATTTACTGAGTCAGCTTTCCCACCTCATCCCCAATTTTGATCCAAGCATGCTTAAACCGAAAACTTGCCCCTGTCAAAACCAAGGTCCACAGCAAAGTCCCAAAAATCCAATGTCTGATAAAGCAAGCTGTTCTGGGGCTGAAGGGAGATCCCTACATTTAGAGGATGATACTGCCAGAAATGGGGAACAGTAGGAAGAAACGGTAACATAACTGAACTTTGAATTCTCTGTTTTTTTTTAAACATTAGACGTCGTTATTATGAATAAACCCGTCGTTTTAAAAACATACCACGACGATTTTATAAATAACCCGTCGTGTTTATTTAAATATCACGTCGTATTTAGTTTACTTGTTTTACACGCCATTAGACGTCGTACTTTGTGGTTTTTAGAGACGGTTTTATTCCTTAACGACGTAATATACAATTACCACGACGTTTATTATTTACCATCGTTTAATAATTTTAAGACGTCCATAATTCTTACATACCGTCTTATGTTATGCCTTACCACGACGTTTTGGTTTAATTTTTTTACTCTCTATACAATCTGTCTTATATATATATATATTTCTTTATTATTTAAAACAGAAATCTGGGGCTTTAGATAATCAAGATGAAGAGAAGAAAGAAGAAAATAAAGATGAACAGAAGATGGGAGAAAAAAAAGATGAAGGGAAGAAGGAAGAAAAAAAAAGAAAAAAGATGAAGGCAAAAAGGAAGACACAAATGATGAAGAGAAGAAAGAAGAAAAACAAGATGAAGAAAAGCATGACGAGGAGGTATAATCTCATAACTTTGCCTTTTTAATTTGTTTTTCACATTTCAGACATCGATATTTTTCTTTAAACCGTCGTTTGTTTTCACATTAGACGTCAGAATTTATTTTCTACGACGGATGTATCCGAGAAGTTCGTCTGTGTGGGCCAGTATATTTTAGATGGATGTATCCGTTTGAAAGATATATGAAAGTGCTAAAGGGGTATGTTCAGAATCGTACTCGTCCCGAAGGTTGCATTGCTGAGCGGTATATAGCTGAAGAAGCTGTAGAGTTTTGTACCGAGCATTTATCTGATGTTAGTACAGTTGGAGTGCCTTCAAGCCAAAAGATGGGAGTTTCAAAGCCATTATCAGGTTGCACAGTGAGCGTAGTTGATCGGGACCTGTTGAACCAAGCACATCTATATGTCTTGGAGAATACGGAGGAAGTCCTACCTTATATCGCGTACGTATGAGTTTTATTCTTTAAGTTTCCATTTTAAATTATTTCTTATGTTTATCTTATATGTTTGGGACCGTAATACTTGAATTTTGTGTGTCATGTAGGCAACATATGATCCACATCCAGACCGCTTATCCAAAATTTAGAAAGAGAACAAAGTGGCTGCAGGATAAGCACAATAGCACTTTCATTCAATGGCTACGCTTCAAGGTATATGTTATTGAATAACATATTGGACTTTTAATTTTCTTCTTTCTATGTTAGATTGAATTAAGTTATGATTAATTTGCAGGTTCAAAGTGAACTTAATGAGGAAGACAATCATGGCGTATCAGAAAATTTAAGGTGGCTAGCAGCTGGTCCAAACATGGCAGTGCCATTATATAGGAGCTATCTCATTAAAGGTATTAAATTCAACATCAAGGCACAAGATGATGTGCGGACAACTCAAAATAGTGGAGTTTATTTACTTGCACATACTATGCAAGTTGCTAGTGCCAAGGATAAAAACCCAATTCTCTCAAATATGGGTTTCTATGGTGTCATTCAAGAAATTTGGGACCTTGACTACCAAAAGTTTACAATCCCAGTCTTTAGGTGTGATTGGATTGATAATACTTCTGGTCTTGTAGTGGACGAACTTGGATTTACCCTTGTAGATTTGAGTAAAATTGGACATAGGAATGACCAATTTGTTTTGGCTTCTCAAGTCAAACAAGTATTTTTTGTTGACGACCCGATGCATCGTGGTTGGTCGGTAGTGTTATCAATGCCTAATAGAGAATATAATGATGTTATTGGTGATGATGTCTTAGGTGATGTGAGAATTGAGTGTGAGCCATTTACTAGGGGGATGCCAAATGTTGACACATTTGATGAAGTGGTGGTTGAGTTAGGGAGTCAAAATATTCGAGATGGGTGTGAAGATATATGGGTTGAATGATGCTTTATGTAATTGGCAGTGTATGACATTAATTTTGTAATATATTGTAATGTGATTTCTTCACTTTCATTATACAGGTTTTGGCCACAAAACAATCATACAAAAATTATTGGTTCCAGATTACAAAACACGACGGTTTTGATAAAAATGTGAAAAACAAACGTCTGTTCTAATAAATAACGACGTTTTGGAGCATTCAACGACCGCAATATATTTACCGACGTCTTAAAGCAAAGTAACAATGAAGAACCACGACGCTATTGTGAAACAGTTATCCAGGATAACACGTCGGACAAGCATAAAGAACCGCCATGTAATTCAAAATAACATGACTCCAATCCCATAACACCGACGTCTAAAAGACGAGAACTTTAACCAGAACGTTACAAAAGACGACGTCGTCATGAATTTACCACGTCGCATGTTCTTTCATAAACGAAGTGGAAAAGGATGAATTCACGACGGTATTTGAAGTCCATTAAATTTGTTGACGTTAAGATTTATGAATTAGACGACGTTAATTTTTTTAATGAAGACGTATAAATTATTAAACACGACGGTCTTTTTCATGGTACCGACGTTGTATATAGACGACAACGTCGTCCTTATAAATTACTGTGTCGTAATTAATGACCCCATCATTTTTTCCACGTCGTTTATTTTCAAAATATGACGTATAAATTCTGTAATACGGCTCTCATTTATTTGGAACCGACGTTGTTTATTCATTTCAACGTCGTCTCAGTAAATACATACGTCGTAATTAATGAACCTGACATCTATTTCCACGTCATAATTCGTAGAAAAATCGAAGTGGAAAATTTATTTTACGACGGTATTTGAAGTCCATTAAACTTGTCGACGTTAAGATATATGAATTAGACGACGTCAATTTTTTAAATGAAGACGTATAAATTATTAAAGACGACAGTCTTTTTAATGGTGACGACGTTGTATATAGACTACAACGTCGTCATTATAAATTACTGTGTCGTAATTAATGACACCATCTTTTTTCACGTCGTTTATTTTCAAAATATGACGTATAAATTCTGTAATACGGCTCTCATTTATTTGGAACCGACGTTATTTATCAAATTCAACGTCGTCTCTGTAAATACATGCGTCGTAAGTAATGACCCTGACATCTATTTCCACGTCATAATTCATAGAAAAATCGAAGTGGAAAATTTATTTTACGACGGTTGTGGGAAATGTTGTGACGTAGTAGGTGTCAATAACGTCGTCTATTATGATTGTAAAGACGTCGTATTTATATTTGTCATCTGTTTCCTTTTTAACGACGTTTTTTTTGTTGGAGTTGGTCGTCTATTCTCATCCTCGACTGTTTTTTTATGTCTTTTTGCAGCACAAAGACGTCGGTTTTTATTTTTTGATGACGTTTTTTGTTTTAACAACGACGGTTATTCACCGTCGTGGTTTGGTTATGGAAAAGATGTCGGTGGATTCCACGACCATTTGAAAACAGAATACACGACGGTGAATTCCCGTCGTGGTTTTCCTTTTTTGTAGTAGTGATACCTTTCATTGATGAAAGCTCAAAAGAAAGTCTTCTACTCTCTGTAGGGTTCTTATGTTCAACTAGCAATACGAAGTAGTTGTTTTGAAAGTGAGCATGGTTCTCTTTAAATAAGTTGAAAGCCAGTGGGTGGAGAAGGTTCGAGATTTTCAATTTTTTTTCCTTCAAGCCTAGAGGGTGTATCTAATTCAAACTATTAATAATTTTTATAGAGTTTAAAAGTCTAGAAGTATTCAATTTAAACTTTTAACGAATTTATAAAAGTCTAGTGGTATTAAATTGTAACTTCTTAAAAGTTTGATGGTATCCAATTATGACTTTTAAAAAGTCTTTAAATTTTTTTGGGGCTACCCAAAAAGTTAATGACTTTTAAAAAGTTGGGTTTTTAGGTCTAATGGTCCCCAAATTTTGACCCGATTCGCATTTTAGTCCATTAATTTCAAAAAATGTTCCCGTTGTCCTTCAACTTCAGTTTTGTTAGGACAAATGGTATTGTCATCAATTTTGTTAACTATTTCTATTAAATGCAGGGGCAAAATGATATTTTTTATTAAAAAAAATATTTAAAAAATATATATATATCTCTCTCTCTCCCCTCCCTCCCTCTATCCCGATTTCTTCCCCCACAGCCACCCTCCACCCAGCGCCCCTCTTCGATTTTCGTACAAAGTTCAAGGAAGAATAGCACACCTGGGTTGGACGGGGGAGGGGGGAGGAGGAGGGGTTATGGGTTATGGGTTCGTTGGGGGTATGGAGGCCGGTGGTCATGGGGGAAAAGAAAATTGAAGGTGAAGGGGTGCTGGGTGAAGGGTGGCGGTGGTCATGAGGGGAAAAGAAAAGGAAAAAAAACATTAGAAAAAAACACCAATCATGATTCAAAGTTAAACCTCTAGCCTCCCACCCCCATCAGAAAAAAAAACCCCTAGAACACTGCCAATCATTATTGAATTCTTGGTATAGCCTATAGGCCAAGTCTTGTTCTACCGCATCAGAGTAATTGAATTAAGCAAGGTTGCAAGTTTGGTTATCATATTTCATGTTCTGAATCAGATCTTAACACTGTAGCACAACCACAACGGTGAGGGAACAACTATTAGATCTGAAGCTAGCCCTTCTATCATACCTTTTATTTTCTTTCCATTTCGTAGACAACCTTGTTTGCTTTTGGTGGAACCTTCCTGTTCTTAGAATAAAAAAGAAGAATTTAAATTAATTTGTTTATGATAATAAGTCCTTGAGTTTTCCACAGTGGAACTTTTAATGGAGGGACCGTTGAGTTTTTAGGGTTTTACAGAAGTGAAGGGGAAGAGGGAGGGGATGAGTTCAATGTTGAATCTTAAATCGTTGGGTGTTTTATTTTTTATATTAATTTTTTGTTTGGTGAAATTCTTTTTTTTGCAAAAAAAAATATGGAATTTAAAAAAGAAAGATGATATTGCAAATAATATGGTTTGCCATATCATGTGTCAAATGTGTTGGTATTTATAAGTTGATAAATAAGTTGGTCGCCATAGCGTTATTGCATTTATTATTATTATTTGGGGTAATAGTGTGAATGGGGGACATTTTTTCCCAAATTCAAGGGAAGTGTGCTAGAATAAGATCATTTTTTGTAAAAAGAAGTCTTGACTAATTAGGACAAAGTATTTCAATTATAATTAATTAAACCTTCCTCTCTTTAGTTGGTAATTCACTTTTTAGACCACAACTTTTTTCTTTTTTTTTAAATTTATTTAATTGATTTTCATTTTTGCAGGTTAAACTCACTACTACATTTTAGTCTTTGCGCGACGAAGGGTCTTCGTCACGCAAAAATGATTTTAGTCGCACACCCTTCGTCGCGCAAAAATGATTTTAGTCGCACATAATTATGCGCGACAGAAGTTTCGTCGCGCACAGTCCGTCGCGCAAAGTTCGTGAAGAAAGGATTTGCGCGACGAACAAATGTCATTCGTCGCGCTGTTTGCGCGACGTATAACAACTTCGTTTAAAAAAACATTTCGGGACGACCCCAATGTCCGTCGCACAAATATTTGTGCGACGAAATAGTGGTCGTCGCAAAAACAATGCGCGACGGACCCTTCCGTCGCGCGAGATACATGAACTTTGCGCGACGAAATAATATTTGTCGCGCAGGTAGTCCTTGCACGACAAAATAGTCGTCGCGCATACAAATTTCGCGCGACGAAATAAGTCGTCGCGCATACAAATTTCGCGCGACGAAACAATTCGTCGTGCATACACATTTTGCGCAACGAAATTATTCGTCGCGAATGATTAAAATATATTTGTCGACGGGTTATTTAAATGTTTTTGCGTGACGAATTACGTTTCGTCACGCAAAAGCAATATATATTATTCAAAAAAATTTATTATTATTTGATTTATAATTTTGTAAAAAAATTAATTTGGTTATTTTTTATAATTAAAATAAAAAGATTAATTGTAAAGAAAACATTTATTATATAAAATAAAAGAAATGTATACAAATTGTAAAACTAATTATAAAAATAAAAAACTAATCAAATAATGTTCCAAAATCTACTTGGTCATCTGCCACATGCGGCTCGGAGGTATGGGCGTCTGCAGGGGCCTTGGTGTGCTAGGGATGCTCGGGGTGGACGGGCTCGGAGGTCGACGCACCAAAATTCGGGATTGGAATGCCGGACCGCGCGAGGGACTGCAGAATCACAGACATCTGACCCTCAAGCTCGGCAACCCGCGATGTCAAAACAGTCACCTGACTGTTTGCCTGCGACGATGACCGCGGTCGAGGTTCCCTCTGTCGGGCATTCCCCATCCCCCTACAATACGTTCCCGGCCTCCTCCCGAGAGTCTGATCCAACGTCTGCGTCAAAATATGAAATGTAGCATCATGCGGAGGATCGACAGACTCGATCGGAGTCTCGGGAGGAAGTTGGGAGGCGGACTCTTGAAGAACCAACTGGCTCCTCTCCACCATCGTCGTCTGTTTAACATTACATAAAATATAAATTCAAAAATGCATATAAATTGAAAGCGTAACATAAGAATTAAAAATACATAATACTTACATGAAAGGACTTGGCCAACTCATTCCCAGGTCGAACATAAACGTCACCAAAGACGTCGATCTCTGGGAATTTCGACCCCCCCCTTAATTGAACAAGAGAAGGAAAATATTAGTATGAACAAAAGAAATTAATAATAATGATGTATTAAAAATTAAATATAAATTATATTATTCTTACCCGACGCCGTGCATCCATCCTATATGAGAAGGGCCTAGAGCCGGAATGGTGGAGAAGAGTCTTCTTCTTCCTATTGCCCTTATTCACTTGGGCTTTATTCTGTTATACAAAAAATAAAACGTAATAGTTGAACTATAAATAAATTAAATAATAATGAGATATAAAAAATAAAATAAACATTAATAAGAAATGTGTAATAATTAAACAAATATTATTAAAAAAATACCACATAATCGGGCGCCTGAAATTAAGCCCAGAGCCACGCCCAACTATCCTCCCGCACCTCAAGCTCCTTCGGGCAACCCTCCTGAAGAGCGACTTGCGGATCATCAAACGCCTGAAAATGGTGGTGCAAGTCGCTCTTCCACTGCTTGTACCTCTCACCGAAGAGTCTGTTGACGTACGCCAAGGTCTCCTCGTTGATGTCCTCTAAGTCGTAGTTCATCTGCAATAAATTGATTACATACATTAAGTAATAGAAATATATAAAGTTTGAAAGAAAAATAATTAAAAGATAGGAAACATACCGACAACTGGCCGCGAACTTGCATCTTGATCTTGTCAGGCATGAACTTCCAAGACTTCCATTGCATCGGGCAATGGGTCCGAACGACGTGGCCAATGTCGTGGGCCAAGGAGCTATGCAAGTCCGCCGTCGGTGCAGCCCGATGGCGCTCGTCATATCCGATGCTGATACGACTGTTGGTCACCCGGGTGACCTTCGCCTTCTTCAACTGCCGACACGGCCCTCGGGTGTTCCTCTTGGCTGCAAAGGGATATGACAATATTGTTACATATACAATCAAATTGAACCATAAAATTCCCAATTAAAAAAATGTTAAAAACAAAAAAACGAAAGTGGAAGGGTATTACCTGGAGGTGCCCCCGAGGCACCAGTACAGTCAGTCGATGTGGTGTCGGTGGTGGTAGCGGGCCGGTGTCGCCGCCTAGCGCTAAGAGGCTGCACCACCGAAGAAGATGATGATGCAGCCGCCTGGGATCCCCCAGGACCAGCTAGCACGTGGTCCTGCTCCATCAGTGCTGGAGCAGTGGCAGCTGATACCGGCTGAGCCGGGGGCTCCAAACTCGGTGTAGTCGTCACCGCCCTACGACGTCTAATCAAGTCTGACATCTGCACAATTTCATTAATCCAATGTAGCACATACAATGTCATTAAAAAATTGAACTAACTAATTAAAATCATAGTTTGACCTAGGGTTTGCGATTTCGGAGTATCCGGGACTCCGATCCACGATCCGTCGAATCCTAAACGATCCTATAAATACATGGTACCACATAAGTGAGTTTCAGCTCAATCCAACGGTCCGAACATATCAAACCCGAAAATCGCACAATAGGTTCGAACCGTTCGAGACTCAAACGATAACCAAATTCCAATCCGAGCACACCTACGCGCTCGTGACAACGAAATGTTTGCACTGGGACAAAATGCCCTATGCCACAGTACCCCACGCGCCGGCAGCGCGTGGGTGCCCTAAGCGATAACAATCACCGGGAAATCCTAAAAATTAAGGGCCAAGGTTCCTACCCTAGGTTGAAAACATCAATTGGAGGCACTTTTGTTCTCGGACCTACCCCGAAAAACGGACGAAAGTGGCCGAAATTTCAATTTCAAAACCGGCCGAAACCTAGGGTTTCAAATTTACTACCCAATGCACACAATCAATCAAATCCTACACAACCATCAGCTAGAGCATCAAAAATAGTCCAAAAAGCATACCTCAATTGCCGGATTTGGTGCCCGGAGGAGAGAGAACAACGGCGGCGAAGATTCGGCCTAAACGGAGGAAATCACGGCGGCAGGATGGACGGCGACGGCGGAGAAGCTCCAGGGTTCGACGGTGGTGGCGGCAGGGTCTGAATTGGGGCGGAGTAGGGGCTGAGGTCACGGCGGAGAAAGAGGGAGGTTTTAGGGTTCTGTTTGAGAAACTGGGGAAGAAGGAGAAGATCGCGATTTTCAGAAAACTTATTCGACTTTGCGCGACGAATACATAAATCCGTCGCGCAAAATTCATTAAAATAACTTTTGCGCGACGCAAAACTGAACTTCTGTCGCGCAAGGTTCTAAAAATATGACCTTTGCGCGACTTAAAAACATACTTTCGTCGCGCAAAGTTGTGAAAATATCACCTTTGCGCGACGAAAACACTAGTGTCGTCGCGCAAGTTTGTCCAGCCGCCCACAATTTTGGGATTTGATTTTGCGCGGGGAAGATAAATGCAATGATATTGCGTGATGAATAGACCGAAGTTCGTCACGCATTCTAGCTTTTGCCAAAAAAAATTTCGCCAAGTGTTGGACAAAAAAGGGCTGCAATTTTTCATTTTGCGCGACGAAGGCACGTACCTTCGTCGCGCAATCTAGCTTTTGCCAAAAAAAATTTCGCTAAGTGTTGGAGCTGAGAAGGGCTACAATTTTCATTTTGCGCGACGAAGGCACTTGCGTTCGTCACGCAATCTAGCTTTTGCCAAAAAAAATTTCGCCAAGTGTTGGAGCGGAGAAGGGCTACAATTTTCATTTTGCGCGACGAAGGCACTTGCGTTCGTCGCGCAATCTAGCTTTTGCTAAAAAAAATTTCACTAAGTGTTGGAGCGGAGAAGGGCAGCGAATTTTTTTCATAATTTTGCGCGACGAAGGCACTTGCGTTCGTCGCGCAATATAGTTTTTGCCAAAAAAAATTTCGCCAAGTGTTGGAGCGGAGAAGGGCTGCAATTTTCTTTTCATCTTTTTGCGCGACGAAGACACTTGATTTCGTCGCGCAATATAGCTTTTGCCAAAAAAAATTTTGCCAAGTGTTGGAGCGGAGAAGGGCTGCAATTTTTTTTCATCTTTTTGCGCGACGAAGACACTTGATTTCGTCGCGCAATCTAGCTTTTGCCAAAAAAAATTTCGCTAAGTGTTGGAGCGGAGAAAGGCTGCAAATTTTTTTAATCGTTTTGCGCGACGAATTCAATGTCCATTCGTCGCTGATCTTTTGCGCGACGAATTCAAGGTGATTCCGTCGCGCAAAACCATACCCTTGTACCCTAAACCCTAAAACCTATACCCTAAGCCCTAAACCCGAACTCCTGAACTAGTTTCAATGATCCAACCGGCAATCTTCTTTTTTCATAGTTCAAGATTGTATACGTCAAAAATCATAATGAATGAACATTCAGAGATTGAGTAACGGGACAAAACTTTTCGACGATTCTAAACAAATTGTCCCGATTCAACGGTGATTTTAACTCCGATCTTGAAAATTTTTTACAGCTGCGGTTCTTGACCCTATATGAATACAGAGATGTAATTCGATCTTCAATTTCAGATATTTACAGTACAAGACATCACATAATCTTATGTTATACTGAATGAATGTATAAAGAAATTATTCATTTTTTATGAATATTGTGTTTTGATGGAATACGCATTCTAGGAAACTAGTTTCAGTAATCTAGCCGTCAAATATATTTGTTTATACTTCGAGATCGTATACGTCGAAAAAGAGAAAAAAAAACATTCAGAGATCAAGTAACGGGACAAAACGTTTCGACGGTTATAAACGAAAAGTCATGATTTAACGGTTATTTTGACTCTGATTTTGATGATGTTTTACAGCTACACTGTTTAACCCTATGTGAATACAGTGAACTACTTCGATCGTCAATTTCAAATATATACGTGTGTATATATCAGATATATATATATGTATATGTTTGCGCGATGAGGTCTTTTTTTCGTCGCGCAAAAGTTACTTGCGCGACGAAATTATTTGTTGCGCAAATAATTGAGTATGCGCGACGTGTACATGTTCCGTCGCGCAAAAGATACTTGCGCGACGGAATAATTTGTCGCGCAAATAATAGAGTATGCGCGACGTGTAAGTTTTCCGTCGCGCAAAATGTGCGCGACAATTATGCCTTCGTCGCGCAATGTTATTTTCATTCACATATTATTAAGCTGAATTATTCATCATTACATATAATTAATTGTATGAAAGTATGATTTATTCTATTTTCTTTTGATTTGAGAATTGAAGGATTGTTGATAATCATATTTTCTTTGTATTCATTTTTTCGGTTATATGGTTTTCATTTTTTAAAAGTTTTTTGTCAAAATAAATTCAACAAAAATGATACAAATTACTTGGATATATTTATTTACCAATGGTTTATAACTACTTTTATTTTAATAATGTTTCATTTCTGCACATATATAATGTTTGAATATAACAAGTACATATATGAAAACATTTGCATTACACAAAATATGTCCACTAACATAATAAAATTACAAAAAAAATTCATCATTCATCATCTGTACTATAATAACTTTCGTTATCGTCGCTATCATCACTTTCGGTCTCCCAATCCTCTTCCTCCTCCTCCTCCTCCGCCTCCTCTAGAACTACATCATCGTCGTTGCTCGAGCCAACTGCAACATCGTATCGCGGAAGATCACCGAGGTCAATTGTAATTGACTGAATCAGTATTTCGATTGAAGACACTCCTTGTATTTGAAATGACTCTTGTATAACATTAGTATCTCGAAGTGTTTCCGCATCATTTTCCATTGAAGATTCTAAACGTTGGTCAGCCACATTGTTGACGTCGTTGTCAGTTGGGTCTAGTTCTGGTATAGCATACACGTTCCTGTGATCCATCTTTTGAACAACGTTCCAACCGCTTCCGGCTTTAGGGTCATCTAGATACACAATTTGTGTTGCCATGTTTGCCAAAATATAAGGGTCGTCATCATACCAAGTTCTGTTCATGTTCACAGATAGTAAGCCATGATCGATTTTAACACTTCCCGGCCTATTTGGGTTGGTGTCAAACCATCGACACTTAAACATGATCACTTGGTATCGATCTTTGTAAAGCAATTGCACGACAGTTGTGAGTTTGCCATAGAAATCAATGTCCGTACTTTCGCCTCCACCTGGGACATGGACACCGCTGTTTTACGTACACAACTTGTCATCTCGTGCTTCGCCCAAAAATTTGACGCCGTTGACATTACAACCCGAGAACAATTTAGCGCGAATCGGGCCGAACGCCAAGTTATATAACTCATCACTGTAAGTTGGGGAATTTGATGATTTCAACTTATTCACCTAATATTATACAAAACCATTCATATGTTAGTCTGACAAAATTAAAAACTACAATTTATATTTCTCAAATAACAAACACTGATAACTTACAGAATCCAAAAACCATTGTGGAAACAATTCACGGTGTTTCTGGGCAACCAAATGTGATGGATGTTCTCGCTTCATCATCTCTTCATGCTCATATAAGTATCCCATGATCTCATCACAATTGTTCAGTACGAACCAATGCGCTACCTCCATGTCATTTCTAGAAAACGACTCTCCGCGTCCAGGATCTCCAAAGGGTCGTGCGCTTTGGGCAAAAACAGAAAGTTTTTCATTTCTCATACCTCCGTCATGATTGCGCTGAGGACGATTGAAAACCGTCTCCACATCTTTTAAATACATTCCGCAGAAAGTAAGCGACTCATATTGAACCCAAGCCTCTACGATTGATCCTTCGGGCTTCGCCCTGTTGCCTACACTTTTTTTCAGCTCTCCGAGAAGCCTGCCAAAATAAAACGATATGATTGACATTAGCAAGCATGTGATAATGATGCATACACAAACGATAAGGATTATATACCTTTCTATTGGATACATCCAGCGATAGTTGACAGGACCAGCAAGCAATGCCTCTTCTGGCAAGTGAACCATCACGTGCATCATACTTGTGAAGAAAGCTGGAGGAAATATCATCTCAAACTTGCATAGGACTTGGACAATGTCATGGCGCAACTGAAACATGTCCGTTTTTCGCAAAGTTTTTGCCGTCAGTTGGGAAAAAAATCTGGACAACAAAATGATTGGCTTCACTACATCTTCCGGCAATAGGTGTCGAATACCAACAGGAAGTAGGCGTTGCATAAACACATGGCAGTCATGGCTCTTAAGTCCAGTAAATTTACCCCCGTCAACATTCACACAACGTGCGATATTAGAAGCATACCCATCGGGAAACTTTACTGACGATACAAACTTTAGAAACTTTTTCTTGTCATTCGGTTTCATAGAAAAGAATGCAAGATCCCTTCTAGCTTTATCATTGTCCCTATTCATCCATAAACCCCTTCGTATGCCCATTCTTTCCAAATCAAGACGAGCTTTGATCGTGTCTTTTGTCTTCCCCTCGATATCTAGAATCGTGCCCACCAATGTGTCGAATACATTCTTCTCAACATGCATCACATCTAGATTGTGCCTCAATTTTAGTTTCGACCAATATGGGAGCTCAAAAAACATAGGCTTGTGCGTCCAGTTCATATGTGTAGAAGGTCTGATACAACTAACTGTTTTCCCGAAGAGAGCAAAATCCAACCGGTTAAGCTGGTCCAATATCTCATCACCGGACCATTCTCTGGGTCTAAGGCGACGCTCTGTGTTCCCGTCGAACTCTTTATCTTTTTCCCTCCACTCATGGTCCCATGGCAACCATCTCCGATGACCAAGGTAACAAACTTTTCTAGCGTGCCAACTAGAAGTTACATCTTCCTTGCATACAGGACATGCCATATAACCTTTTGTGCTCCACCCAGAAACCATTGCATATGCTGGGAAATCATTCACAGTCCACATAACTGCTGCCCGCAAAGTGAATATCTTCCCAGTTGATTTATCGTATGTGCGAACACCGTTTGTCCATCAATCCTTCAGCTCATCAACCAGCGGCCTTAAGTAAACATCGATTGACCTCCCAGGATCCTCAGTTATCAAAACAATCATCATCATGTATTCTTTTTTCATGCATTTCCAAGGCGGCAAATTATATGGGAATACGAAAATCGGCCAAGTGCTGTGGTGTTGGTTTAGAACCCCATACGGATTGAATCCGTCAGTGGCAAGTCCCAATCTAACATTTCGGGATCAGCAGCAAACTTGGGGAACGTTCGATCGAACTTTTTCCATGCCTCCCCATCTGCAGGATGCCGCATCACATCATCGTCTACCCGTTTTTCCTTATGCCATCTCATGTCTATGGCAGTATGCGTCGACATATACAATCGCTGCAACCTAGGTTTCAGGGGCAAATAACGCATGACTTTTTGTGGGATCTTAGTCGTCCTATTCTGAGATGTCATCTTGAACCTCGACTCATTGCATATAGGACATGTATCCAACGATTCATGCTCTTTGTAGAATAACATGCAATTGTTTTTGCAAGCATGGATTTTTTCATAACCCAATCCAAGACCATTCAACACCTTCTGCGCCTGTTTATGGTCTTTCGGCAAACAATTGTCCGTCGGAAGCATTCTCTTGAAAACCCCCAAAAAGTAATCGAAACACAGGTTCGACATACGATACTTTATTTTTCCGTGCATTAGCTCCACAATGGCCGTGAGAACGGAAAAGCTCTCGCACCCCGGGTATAACTCTTGGTTGGCATTTTTTAATAATTTTTCATATTGTTCAAACTCCGCACTGTCTATTGGTGTAGGCACATCATCTTGCTCTTCTTGATTCATGTTGGTCGATGCAAATGGAAAAACATCCTGTATAATATCCATGACTTGATCATTAGCATCCACAATAGGTTGAACATTGTCCACTCTTGTGGCATTTGAAGACGAAGCATGCTCTAATTGTTCCCCGTGAAGGTTCCAAATGCTATATGTCTCAATCATTCCATTCCTTACTAAATGAAATCCAACATTTTCAATTGTCTCCCATAACGTGTTGTTGCACCTCCTACAAGGACAACGAATTCTAGTTGCACCCGGGTTGTGTCTACGTGCAAACTCAATAAAATCCTCGATTCCATCCAAGTATTCGTTTGCGCATCTGTTCGGGTTCTGTATCCACCTTCTGTCCATAATTCCTAAAACCAGAATCACAACACAACAATCACAACAACTTCATACGAAGTTATAATGTCACTTTATGCCTCCGGTAAGGGTCCTATCCCATTCGGGAATGCATACTCCTGCCACGTAACCTACGACTACATGAGATTAGATTTCGACGTGGATGAATTTCGCCAGCATCTCGCTACAATTCTTGAGGTGACCATAGGTATAAATACCTACGTACCACCCGAAGAACGTACCGAGATGACATCGAAATATCCACAATCGAAACCTAATCTTGTAGCCATAGATTACGTGACAACACTATGCATTACCAAACTGTCCAAATAATGGGACAATTCAAGAATTAATTGGACCGCAGTCATGCATTACGCATCCATGCACGAAATCCAACTAATCTCGAACGGGAAACTAAGTGTTACTAAACATAAAAATAAAAGCACGAAGTTAATTTCAATGAACTTCGTACATCACAACAGATTGTGCTACGTTACACACAATTTAACAACATAATATAAATATAACTTCACAAGAACATTTTAAACATAACAAATTAACATTATTAATATATAAAACGAATAAAATACCTTCTCAATCGTTCTCCACCAATCGCTAATTATAAATATCCCTAACGAAAACAAATTAAAAAACCTTAGTACGAACTTAAATTAATACTTTTAAACTAATGACGAAAAATACTTACCCAATCAATGTATTGAAGTCCCAGCAGCGGCAGAGAGGTTGAGAGAGAGGCAGAGGCAGAATGCTTTGTTTTTGCATTCTGCCTCTGCAATGGCAAAATTCTAATATGAAGAAGAAGGACTTTGCGCGACGAATACATGCGTTCGTCGTGCAAACTTCCGTCGCAAAAAACCAAATCGTCCGTCGCGCAAACACCTACCGATATCTAACTTTTGCGCGACGCTGGTACTTTCCGTCGCGCAACCTTTCGTCGTGCAATATTGTCGCGCAAAAACAAAATTCCGTCGCGCAAAACAAGATATTCGTCGCGCAAACATGGAACTTTACGCGACGAATAGTACGTACGTCGCGCAAAAAAATATCTCAACCAGGTAGTTTTGGCGCCAAAAATAAAATATCCCTCATTCTCTTACGCGACGAAAAATCTTCCCGTCGCGCTAAGCTGTCTTGTGCAACGAAGAGTTTCGTCGCATAAGTTTTTACCGCCAAATAAGGGGACCCACTGGATTCTGTCCGTTTTTGCGCGACGAATCAATGTACCGTCGCGCAATGTTGTCTTAAGCGATGATATTTCTTGTCGCGCAAATGTTTCGCGCCAAAAAAATTCCCCCCCGGTTTTTTTAACTCTGTTTGCGCGACGAAAATTTTTTTGGTCGCGCAAAGACATTTTGTGCGACGAAAAATTTGGTGGCGCAAATTTTCAGTGGATTGCGTGACGAATATTTTCTTTCGTCGCGCCAATATGGTTTGCGCAACGACTTATTCTTCGTCGCGCAATCTTTCTTCGCGCAAATGGTGAAACGTAGTAGTGACTACTGGGGCCCATTTGACAGGACCCGCCCCGAATTTCTCGAAATTTGGGACGAATTCTGTGGAAGTCCAAGCATCACACCAATGCCGGGCTCACTCATTAGAACTGTAGTCTCCTTTTTTGAAAAGGAATAAAGGCACGAGATTTTCTGCTGAAAATTTCGGCAGAGTCTCTCCTGTAAATTGAACATTTCTCAAAAATTCCAACCTGCACAACATACAATTTAATATCCCAACAGGCAGCACGCACAATATAATTCCCTGAAATTCACATAATCGGCCTCCGGCCTTCAAACAATCCGAAACCAAACAACCAACACCACTCCTCAGTCAACAATATCCTAAACCATGCAGATAATGAATTCGAACAATTTTTATAAACGCCCCCTATAATCAACATAACACAACTTCCCTCAACCAAATGGGAGTATGAACGATTATTTAATCGCATCTCGTTTCCAATCGAATTTCAGGACCAACAACCAGGTCAAACCGATCTCCATGAACCACACAAATAAAATCTAGTCCGCAGCTGCACCTAGGCACCACCCTAGGATACCTACGTACCCCTTGAGAGGGATCAAGCCACACGTAGTTCTTTTCCTAAATCCCGATTCGAATACCTTTATTCATCTCCCTGTTAATCACATAATCTCCCCATACGCCGGAAGAATCCCAAAACACATGTGAGACCTAATAATCACATATCACATCTCATAGAATCTCCCTATATGCCGAAAAATCCAACGTCACATATGGGGTCTGTCAACACGCCGGAAAATCCTACGCCACGTGCGATCTCACAAGCATATCACATAATCTCCCCCATACGCAGGAAAATCCTACGCCACCTGGGACCTAACAATCATCACATCTCATATAATCTCCCCATACGCTGGAAAATCCAACGCCACGTATGGGGTCTGTCAACACACCGGAAAATCCTACGCCAAGTGCGACTTCACAATCATATCACATAATCTCCCCTATACGCCAGAAAATCCAACGCCACGTATGGGGTCTATCCTCACGCTGGAAAATCCTACGCCATGTGGGACCTAACAATCATCACATCTCATATAATCTCCCCATACGCCGGAAAATCCAACGCCACATATGGAGTCTGTCAACACGCCGAAAAATCCTATGCCACGTGCGACCTTACAATCACAGGATGGTACTTTCACAGGGTAATCAAACATCTTTATAATATATATATTAATTTCCAATATTGCATAAACCCCTCAACCACAACATAGCATCCTATAATCCCCCAATTTAAAACCATAAACTAACATCCTAATCCCACATAATCAACATAACTCACTAACAATCAAGACCTGTCTCTACGGTCATTTTAATCCTTCTGGGAATGTGAAACTACCCCGGAAGACTAATGGTCAACCAAGGGTCAAAAAACTTGGTCAAACGGGCCCATGACCTCCATTCTCCGATCCGAAAGTTCCTATGTGTTCTAAAAGGCTTAGGACACACGTCTTGCAAGTTCGGTCCAGATCGGACGGTTAGATCGCTCACGATCGCACGATAGGGCAGTTACTATAACGCTAGAACTAGGGTCGGCATTTCCGGAGTATTCGGGACTTCGTTTTACGATCTGTTGAATCCTACACGATTCTAAGGATGTCTAGATTAACATATTATAAATTTAAGACTATCCAACGGTTCAAACCTATCGAACTCGGATAACGCACAATAGACGATATCCATTCAGGACTCAAACGGTACCCAAATTGAAATCCGAGCACACCTACGCACTCGTGAGGACCAGAAGATTACATCGAGACACAATACCCTTTTTCTACAATGCCCACGCGCCGCCACACCTACCAGCAGCGCGTGGGTGTCCAAAGCGATAACCCTTTGCCGAAAAAACTCAAAATCACGGCTCAAGACTCCTAGCATAGGTGTAACACCCTATTTGGAACCACTTTTGTTCTTGGACCTACCCCAAAAACTGACCAAAAGTGGCCGGAATCGCGATCCCAAAATTGGTTGAAATCCAATTCGAAAATCAAACAATCTAGGCTCAAAATTGATGAAATCCTACCCAACCATCAGCTAGATCATGAATAAGGGATGAATTTCCATACCTTGATCGCCAAAAATGGCAGCTGGAGGAGAGAGATCGAAGCCGACGAAATTTCGAGCGAAAACCAGCCTAAAAACCACATTTTTCGGTGACTAGAGCGGTGGCCAATGTCCGAGAACTGCCGGGTTGTGACGCCGGGGCTGAGCCGGTCCTTTTGGCACCAGTCCCGTCTGCAGCTGTGGCCGGAGTTTCGACGAGAGAGAAGGAGAAGGCTGCCATCGGGGAGAGAGAGAAAGGGCACATGGAGGAGAGAGAGAGAGAGAGAGAGAGAGAGAGAGAGAGAGAGAGAGAGAGATGATTTTTATCAAACTCTTTTTGCCAAAATTACGGTTATGCCACTGAGGGTATTTTGATCGTATCTCTCTCGTTACAACTCCGATTTGAGTCCACTACGTATCTACGAACTCATCTTGCCGTGCTCTAAGCAATGATAAAGTCGAAATTCCCAAATTCCTTCCCAGTCAAAAAGACAACTTTAAACCTAATAAAATATTCTAGGGCAAAATGGTCTTTTATCTTAATAAAATAATATTTACCAATTTATTTAGGACCGGGTCGTTACACCATTTCCGTAGATGCACTCCCATTCTTTGCTTGCTTCATTGCGTCCCACGTTCTTGATGGGCCCTGTTTTATTTAAAGATCTATTCATAGCCGTCCCCAGTTGTATCGATACATCTAATCTAAATTTAAAACTGTTGTTTGGCCTTGAATCTTTTTTTGTATTATTTTTATCTATGACCATTAGCATGTTTTAAAAAGGCAAAAATTCATTTCTAGTCCTGTAATTTCTCGGTTTTACCACTTGGGTGCTTATAGTTTCAATTGCACTTTACTTATATTTTATTGACACAATGGTTTGGACATAAGAGTTCCAAAAACTTGTAAAGTGGATATTTAATCTCGTAGATTACAAGCTTTGGATTCTCATTTATCATATTTTGCACCATGATTACAAGTTTAAAGTTCTTCATAATTCATAATCTTGTAATAACCTAATTCATAATCTTCCAAGAACTTATAAAGTGGATCTTTAATTTCATAGATTACAAGATTTATCTCTTTTTTATTATTATGAGTTTGCAATCTTAGTTGGGATACCTATGCTAAAGTTTCTTCGATCATGAGTGATCGTTAGTGGATGCACATCAGATTGTCTTAATTTTGATGTTAGATCGTTTTTTATTGTAATTGCCCCTTATGACAAGTTTGTATTGGTCATTTGTGACTAATGAATTTTTTAGCTAAATTATGTATGCAATTCCAGAATTTCTCAACACAAAAAAAAACAAAAAAATAATAGTCATGATCAATAGTGTAGTACAAAAGGTACTCCAGTGGAAAAAATATTTGACTTCTTTGGACACACACATGCACCTTTGAAAGAGAAGTTCACACATAAATATAAGAAATTATAATTAGTGCTTGCAATTATAAATTATCTAGCTAATTGATTACGTTGAATTTTTGTTTTGATCATATGCAGGACAACTTTTGTCCAAATGCTAAGGGGGGCAAGACACAAACATTTGTGTAGGAAAAAATGAGTGCTAAATTGCTATAAAATAAATAAATAAACACTACAAACAAAACAAATTTTTACAACAGCATAATGGAATTAAAAGAACCATAATTGAGTCGAGGCAAGTGTTGAACACTCTGACCTTAAGACGAATTACGCCCCACACTTGTGCTTATGGTTCACTAGCGTTCACCTCCCAGGATACAATGACTCTCCTCCTTATGAAAGAAGAATTGCAATTCACAAGGAACTTTGAACTAAAATTATGCAGGAACCTCTCTTTATGAAACTCTAATGCTCTATATATATGAAAGTATGTATGTAGAGAATTGATTGAATGAATAAAACTGCAGGAGGATTTCTCTATTTATAGATGATGAAATACCCTTTCTAAAAAGGTATCTCAATCTGAAGGCAAACAATGCATCCTTTGGTTTGAAGAGTTGTCAGCCCAAACAATGCATCCCTTGGTTTGGAGAGTTGTTACTCCCTATGTGAAGATGTCTTTAACCCAAGAGTCATGTCTTTAACCTAATGAATTTTATTAATTTCCATTCAAATAGGAAAATTAATATTAATTAATATTAAATTTCCAACAATTTGTAAGTGGCCATGTTTCATAGAGTGTACGTAGTATATGCCCAGTTGGCTTCTAAACAAAGAGCTCATGTGTTTTGTAACAAACAAAAAACCAAAAAAACAAAAAACAAAAACAAAAAAAACAAAAAAAAACAGCTTCTTTGTTTTATTTTTAGCCAGTCCACTGTTCATGTTTATATAAAAATATAAAAATATGAACAATTTTATATTAACTTCCGCAGTTTCCTTTGATTTGTACGCATATTCCGGGCTGGTCACCTGCCAAATTTTTAAATTGAAGGTCACCACGTGCCTTGTGATAATCTTTGGCTGTCTCTATGTTTTATCCTCTATCTTCACATCACATCACATGTCACCTCGTACCTAGTGACAATCCTTATGTGCTTTGGTATTTGGTGCTCTATTGATAATAGAGGACTCTGGTTATTTAATTAGGGTCATTTTTTCATTATTATTATGAATTTGAATTCCTTTATCGATAGAAAAGGAAATACTACTCAACCTTAAAGTTAACTATGAATCAGAGTGAGAATGAATCGAATCAACATGACTTCTCATTAAATTATATACTAACTATCATGAATCGAAATGAAGAAATATTTGATTAGTGGAATGCATACCCTCGAAGAATGTATATTTTATTTTATTTTTTCAAAAACCAACTACAACTTTTCAAATGGGAAAAACTATTTCACTAACAATAAAAATATTATGTAAAAATATTTTATGTAGTTATGATATGTATTAAAATAAAAATTCATTATAAATATAAACTATAGTTGCCCGTGATCTGACACATTATATATTATACTTGCACTCCTACTGAGAATTGAGGGGCTCAAGCAACTTTGATGCTTTCCAGTTTGTTTAGTGTAAATTACAACAACTTCCCCTCTTCTTAGCTGTAACGTTAGCAAAGATACTAGTGATATTAATTATTGGAGCATACATAAGCTTGAAAATAGGTATTGCTATTATTAATTTATGATTTTAAAATGTCAAATTCTACAATTTAAGGAATTCAAAACTTCTAGAGCGATGTTGAGTCAAACAATACGGGGTAAAATATTTTTTGATATATTTCCATTTATCCAAAGGAGGTATTTATAATACAAGTGTGTAAACCCTAGTAAGATTATACAAGAAAACAAATAAAATTCTAATTACACAAAATTTGTACAAAAGAGAAAAAAAAATCCAAATAGAATAGGAAATAAATATCCTAAACGAATTTTTCAAACATGGTGATGATCACCGTAAAGTTCATTTTAGTGTTCGAAAATACATAATACGGTCGGTTATAATAAACGAATTTTTTGATAACGAGAGATTTGTTATATGTATTAATGTTCGTAAAACTTCATTTTTCACGAAAATCTGATGAACGAACTCTGCTTCTTCATTTTCCATTTTTATGGTTCGCTGGATTCTGTTTTTTTATTTTGTTTTTATCGATATATACTCCAAAAATCTGACGGCTTATTCTTCTGCTTCATGGAGCCTACTGTGCCTGTGCCTTGGGGAGAAATCGTTATTAAATATTTATGCATTTTGTTATATATATCTTCCATATTTCCAAATTCATATTTCATCCGTAAAATAATGCCACTGTTGCTGAACTTGAGAGAACATTAACATTTATATTGACGACCATCAACATAATATATTTTTATTTTATTCATCAAATTAATAGTACATGTAATTAAGTAGGGAGGGGAGGCCCCTAGCTAGCTACAGACCTCAGTGAGTCATCAGTTCTGCTTCGTCTTCATCAGTAATGGATGCCGAGTCAGTTTCTCCACCGGAGTCGGCTAGTTTTTCTTTCCCGTGGCCTTTGTAGATGTGGGTGCTGCCAAACTCGAAAATTCCTACTCTCTCCGATTTTTTCCCCGTAATATTATTCCCAACGATGCCGAAGTCATTGCCTCTTCCACCCTTGTCTTTTTTCTTATCTCTCTCATTCTTGGGTTTGACATTCTTCTGAGACTTACTGGTGTGACCATTAGACCGAACTGACTTTGATCCAATGTTTAAGCTAGCAAATGCTTTCTCTGCACTATTGTCACCGTGCCTATCAAGCCTCTGCTCATATCCTTTTAAAATGACAACTACATCCTGAGCATCAATAGTGTCTAGATCTTTTGTATTCTCTATCACAGCTGCAATACTATCATAGGATTTAGGCAGACTAATGAGTAGTTTCTGAACAATTCGTTGATTGCTCAGATCCTCACCATAGCTCTTCATTTGGTTGATTAAATCAAACAACTTAGCAATATATCCAGACAAAGATTCATTATCATTCATCCGAGTATATTCAAAATCACGCCTAAGACTCTGAAGTTTCATGGATCTTACCTTATTATCACCAACAAATTCTTGTTTCAGAATATCCCACGCAGCCTTTGCAGTTTCCTGGGTTGCTATTCTTGGAAAAAATTGATCTGATACAGCCCCTTGGATAATACTCAGAGCTCTAGCGTCCTTCACCTCGTTCTCACGCATCAGCTTCCTCTCTGCCTTCGTGAGCTCCTCCTCCTCTTTCTTCGGAGTGTTGTACCCATTCTCCACAATATCCCATAGGTCGTGCGAACGGAAAATGGTTTTCAGTTTGATTTGCCAGAAATCAAAATTTTCACCATTGAAGATTGGTGCCTTGAGTTCCCCTCCTCTAGATCCAGCCATGTTAGATTCGATCGCCGATGTAGGCTTGAATCAATGCAATAAGCCTTCGCTTATGAATCTGAGCTCACTTTAACAAACATGCCATGTTGGTGTTTGACAAGCTAATCTGTGCTAATGGGAAAATGGAGAGTTGAGAATAATGAAGAAGAGAGAGATAAAACAATATGCTCTGCAAAAATTGTATTAATTCATGAGGGTGAGGCACTATATATATCATTTACATTCACAGCTCATATTACTGTTAGAGGAGAGAGAGAGCTAGACAATTCCTAGCTTCAATCTCAACCATCCAACTACACTATCGGTAGGATTAAGACACCTGTCCAGTCAAGTCCTATGAGACTTAACAAACCGTTGACTAGTATAAATAGCTTAGCCTATGAGCTAAGTATTAACACTAAACAAAACAATTACATACTAAATCAGTTTACCATTTTGCACATTAACAGTGGGTGTTGCGAAACTCCAAAATTCCTACTCTCTCCCGATTTTTTCCCCGTAATATTATTCCCAACGATGCTGAAGTCATTGCCTCTTCCGCCATTGTCTTTTTTCTTGGGTTGGAGAGTTTTGGTGCTCACTGATGAGGATTTCGAGCTGTTGCTGTTTTGTTGGTCGGTGTTCGCCTTAGAAGAATCCTCAGAACCTTGTTTCTGATCACCAAGTGGAGGCTTCAGATATAGCCAGCCGGCAGACATTTTCACCGTCTGGGATCCTTGTCTGGAGTTATCGATAATTGGCTGCTTGTGTGCCAGAAAAAGTTTCTAATTGTAAGTGAAGCCAAACAAAACTCTTTTTCTTCCAGACAAGGAAGGAAGTTGCCCAACTCCTATAGCTCCCTTTAGCTTTTCAGTGAGGAAGAATACTTTCAACAGTCTAAATACACTACGAAAGTGGAGACGCACCTAACCATGATTCAGAGTCACTACATCTTATCTGCCATTAAATTCAGAGTCCCATCTAGTGAAAGCAACAGTTGCAATTGGATAATTAGCATTTGTCATGCCATTATCAGGACTTTTTTTATTTATTATTTCCATTTTTATCCTTACCTCTATAAAAGATGAGTCTCCAAATGAAGCTGAATACCTGCACAAAGAGATGGCAACAAAACCCTTTACTGGTTCCTCTAGAAAAGTTTCTGAAACTGAAACAGAGCTCCCACGAAAAGAAACTGAAACAGTGCTCCCACAAGAAGAAACTGAATCAGAGCTCCCGCAAAACAGAACTAGTGAGGCAGAAAATAGTAATAACCAGACCTGTAACATTCGTAAGAATGTAATTACCGCAGCAGAAAGCGGAAACGTTGGTATTTTTGACTTCAACAACAAATATCATGAAGGTGGTGCTGTTGATCATCATCAAGGATTTAAAATATTGATTTGCAGCATGAAAATTACGTTCTACATGAGAAAAGTAGGGATTATTAATCCGGAAGTCATGCGGGTCTTGATCAAATTCATAGAAGCATTTTATTGATTTGCATGTGGGTTCGAATGCCATGAATATCTGAAAGTTTAATTCTGAGCATGAGAAAGAACTAATAACGAAGAAATCTGACTTATTGATTGCCACAAAAGGAGTCCATACATAAATCTTGCTTTTCCTGCCCCATAACATGTGGTCAAGTCTTGACCTGCCCCATAAACTATAGTTTTTCGCCAACTATTTATTTTGTTCTTCTTGGTCGTGCCATTTTTAAACTCAAGCCGCTTGCTTCATTTTTTGTTTTGCTTACTCACCGTTGATATATAAAAGAAAGAAGAAGAAGCAATAACAAGAAGAACAAGAAGACCAAGAAGAAATGGTACGCTCGACTTCTTGTTGTACTTGTTGCCAACTTTGCTAATCCCAACACGCTCGCCTTTGTTTGCATAAAATGTATGCCACAAATGTTGTGGTTTCGACCCCTTCTTGGTTGATGAACATCAACACCACCTCCACCTTCTTCGTTGTAAGCATCGTGAATCCCAACATCCGTGCTTTCAATTGCAAAGAAATCATTCTCATTAATGTTGAAGGTCTGTTTGCTTTCATCAATATTTTCTACCTCATTTTTTTCATTTTGCCGGAGCTCTTTCTCCTTGGGGCTCTTGTCCAAAAAGCATTCTAGGGCGACCAAGAAAGCGGTTTCTTACCCTCTCCTGTGGGCTCTGGTTCAGTTGTTCAGCTTTAGTTCGATATCGAGACCCATATAATATATATGCAAAGATAAAAATGGAAAGATCTTCAAATAAGTGGAGGCCAATACTCCAAAAATCCGATGGAAGACAATCTTTCAAAAATGGAAGTTACTATTGTAAACTACTCACATAAAATCCTTAAATCCTATACACACGTAGAAATCGCATCAAGGAAAGATCTTGAATCAAATAAAAATATTAATCATAATATATAGTACTTACCTGCCATTGATGAAAGCACAAAATTAAGAAAAGTCTTCTATTCTCTGTAGAGTTCTTATGTTCAATTAGCAATAGGGACTAGATGTTTTTTTAAGGTGTGCTTATAAGAGAGCATGTGACCTCCTCTTGAAAATGGAATAAGTTACACTTATATATATGTATATTATTAGTCTTTGTTATATCTGCAATATTCCTAATGATCAACTTGGGAAAGTCTTTCCAGCAAAAACCAAAAAAACTTGGAAAAGTCTTGTAAAAAAGGACCACTCTTGTCCTAATGCAAAGGGGGCCGGACAGAGGTTTTGAACTAGCCATGCTTGTGAAAAAATTATACAATACATTGTACATCAAATTTGGAAAGCAGCAATTTGAATAATCACCAGTGTTGACCAGGGTCGGCCCTTGGCCAGGGCAACTAGGTCATCGCCCGGGGCCGACAATTGAGAGGGGCATAAAAAAAAATGTCCATATATATAGGCATATGCAAACAAATTTTTTTTTAAAGATCTCATAACAAAATAAAATTAAAAGTTCTCATAAAAAAATAAAAAAATAAAAAAATAACAATAAAGGGGCATGCGTGATAGTATTAATCTGTTTCGAAGAGTACTGACTGTTTATCCATAATATTATAAGGTGTTTAGTGCTATTCCGGCTAAATAGTCATACTAAGTTATACTGTGTTTGATGTTGTTCACGATAACATCATATTAGACTATTTGTTATTATTATTATTTTTTTAAAAGGATAATTTAAGTGAAAATTAAAATTCAAATGACACGAATTTTTTTTTTGGTAAGATTCATATTACAATATTTTTTGGAGTTTATATTAATAAAATAATTTAAAAGAAAAATGAAACCTGAGTTTAACTTCTTCATCTTCGTTTCCTCTACTTCTCTCTTGGGATGGTGACGACACAGAGGGACTGGCTACCGCATCTTCCATTACTGTTCGAAAGACCCTGTGTTGTCATCCACGACAAAGGTCAATTGACCTCTTTCCCCTTATTTTCAAATCATATGGGTTTCTTTCAGAATTCGAAATTCCTTCGTTATTAATTATCAAAATAATTATATATCTTGGAATTCGTAGAAACCTTTTGTTCTGTTTGCATCAACAGATAATGGGGACATGAATTGAAATAGAGTTGTTCTCAAATTGATTAACTGGGTTCTCCAAGATTTGCGAGTTTGCATAATATGATTTGGGGTTTTAGCTCACTTGGGGCCAAGCTAAATAGATGTTCAAGCTTTATTTTGCTGGTTCATTTCCTGGAGAGAGTGAAGAAAATAACATGTAGAGAAGATAGTAGAGAAGAACCCAAGGAAGAAGAAGAAGCAATAGAGTCTTATTTTTCACATGAACGTGTGTTTTTTTTTCCCAAGCCATATAATTAAGCGTGTATTATCTAAACCAGTGTGTGTGGATTGTATTAGTTAGTCAGGTAAGGAGAGAATTAAAAGCTCAACCTATATAAAATAGTCGGGTAATTAAATAATACAAGTTGACACCAAACACCTGACATAGACTATTTACTCCTATTCAGAATCTAATACGGTGTACCAAACGAGAGTCTTAGTTGATAGTTTAAAACAATAATAAAAAAAGAGGCCGCAGAGTTAATTTCCATGTTTGTTGGGTGGAGCACTAATTTCCATGTTTGTTAGGTGGAGCACTTTGCTCTAGTTTTTCTTCTTTCTATCTTTCTATCTTTTTTGTTTTTTTGTTTTTTTTTGCTCTCCTTGGTTTGTTGTGCAACAGTTTATTGACAGAACTGATCTGACAATGTTTCTTTTATTCATGTATGAGTAATTATTTATTTACACATTAAATTTAATTTTTCATATCTCATGTCAAAGAGTTAAACTGGTATTGAAATAAACAGACAGAACTTAAAAACTTGTATTTGTGGGGTTTAAAAGGATAAGATGAGATAAACAGTATAATTTAGTTGTGGCTTCATTTTTTTTTTTTTTTTTTTTTTTTTTTTTGATATTAGTTTTTAAAATTTGGTATATTAATATGGACATTTTAATATGTGTTTAAAGTCAGTTCCCACGCGGGTATTGTATTTGTATGAGATATTTCTTAAAATGAACAAGAATTCTTTGTAGAGATTTGTAACTTTCTTGTTTTGTTTATGGTACTGGAAATGACTTTCTGTTTTTAGGTATTTTAGCTGCACTACATCCATATGGAAATATATATATGTGATTTATTTACATTTCAAGATATCAATCGTTAATCTACTTGGCAATGTCTCCCTTCATATGCGGCCATGAGTAATATTCCCGTAGCGTCCGATACATCTTAGTACTTCCTGGATGCATACAGTAAGTGGAACAGTGAGCTTCTACCATGATTTCTCTTTTCAATTCATCATTATTCCTGGGCACACAAAGACGAGTTCTTGTTACCAAAGGTTCATCTTCCATTTGGTATAATCTGTCTGTGTGCCACTTTCCACTTCTCCCCTTATCCTACAGAGTGTCGGATCCCCTAACTGAGCTACAATTACCCGCTCCACCAAAATGGGTCTCACATGTAAGCTAGCAAGAATTCCACCCCATTGAGTCATTCCCAACTCTACTCCATCCTTCTGTAGTTCCACCAATAACGAAAGATAGGCCGTTCTGAGATGGCTAAGCTTCCAGTAGTCTTCCTACTCAGTGCATCTACAACCACATTAGCTCGCCCAGGATGATATTCAGTCGTACAGTCATAGTCCTTAATCAATTCCAGCCAACACCGTTGTCTCATATTCAACTCCTTCTGAGTGAAAAAGTACTTGAGGCTCTTGTGATTAGTGAAAATCTGACACGTCTCACCGTACAAGTAATGCCGTCAAATCTTGAGAGTGAACACTACTGCAGCAAGCTCCAAATCATGGACAGGACAATTCTGCTCATGCTTCTTGAGTTGTCTCGAGGCATAAGCAATCACCCAATCATGTTGCATCAGAACACATCCTAAGCCCTGCAAAGATGCATAACTGTAGATCACAAAATTCCCCGAGTTATCTAGAAGAGCCAAAACAGGTGCGGTGGTTAACCACTTCTTCAACTCCTGAAAACTCTGTTCGCACTCCTCCATCCACTCATACTTAACATCTTTCTTCGTCAACCGCGTGAGAGGTGCTGCTATCGAAGAGAACCCTTCCACAAATCGACGATAGTAGCCTGCTAACCCCAGAAAACTCCGTACTTCTGTCACACTCATGGGTTGTACCCAATTCACAATAGCTTCAACTATCTGTGGATCCACATAAATCCCTTCAGCTGAAATGACATGCTCGAGGAATACTACTCTATCCAGCCAGAACTGACACTTACTGAATTTGGCATAAAGCTGCTTTCTCCTCAAAGTCCTCAATACCAACCTTAGGTGTTTCTTATGCCCTTCTAAAGTCTTGGAGTAAACTAGGATATCGTCTATGAACACAATCACAAAGTGATCCAAGTATGGTCAGAACATTATGTTCATGAGATCCATAAACGCTGCTGGAGCATTCGTCAATCCAAAAGGTATCACTATAAATTCATAATGACCATACCGCGTTCTGAATGCGGTCTTGAGAATATCCTCTTCTCTGATCCTCAACTGATGGTATCCTGATCTCATATCAATCTTAAGGAAATACTTGGTACCCCTCAGCTGGTCAAAAAAATCATCAATCCGAGGCAAAGGATACCGGTTACGTATTGTCACCTAATTCAACTGCCAGTAATCAATACATTGCCTCATGGTCCCATCTTTCTTTCTCACAAATAACACCGGTGCATCCCACGGAGAAACACTGGGTCGGATAAATCCCATATCCACTAATTCCTGCAACTGAGTCTTCAACTCACGCAACTCTGTTGGTGCCATCCTATAAGGAATCTGATAGATAGGGTTGGTGCCTGGAAGAAGTTCGATAGTGAACTCGATTTCCCTTTCAGGGGATAAAACAGGGAGATCATCTGGAAAGACATTTGGGAATTCTCTAACAACAGGGATATCTTCTAGATTCAAGGTGATCTCTCGAGTGTCAATAATATGAGCCAAATATCCCTCACATCCCTTCTAGAGCAACTTCTTGGCTATGATAGCAGAGATAAGACATGTAGGGAGGACTCTACGTTCTCCCCGGAAGATAACTTTGGGTTGCCCTGGACTCCGAAGTGTTACTTCCCTCCGAAAACAATCCACAGATGAATGATGCGGGTAAACTGGCTAAGCACATGCAGCAAATCCAAAGCATTATCTTCGGCACCTGGAGATGGTGGAGGCGAAGGCACTGGTGGTGAAGGAGGTGGTGATGGAGATGGAGGTGGCGGATTTGGCCCTCATCTCTGATCGCGACCCCTTGTTCTAGCTCTGCGAGCTGACATGGTTCTACACAACAGAAACCATAAAATCATTAGTATCAACAATGCAACAAAAGTGCAAAAGTCGAAGGAAATTGAACCTAATTCTTTGATACCAAGCTGACATGACCCGCCCCGAAATTCCTCGAAAACCGGGACGGATCCCGTCTTGTTACCGACATTACCCCGATGCCAGGCCCACTTGCTAAAAACTGAGACTCTTTACCAAAATTTTGGCAGAGTCTTCCCTGTAAAAAGCACAAACCCAACAAAATTCAATCTGCATAATATACATAATATGATCCCAATTAGCAGCATGCTTTCAACATATGACAATACATAATAAAATGGCCTCTGGCCTCCAGTAAAACCTAACATGGGCAGTAACAGAGCATCTAACAGATTTAATTTATAACCACAGTTTGAGTAGAAAGAAATTACTCAAAGGATAACTACTAATGTTCCCAATTCAGAACCTCGAACATAGCTGGCAGTTCTCCTTGAGCGACTACTGTCTGGAGGGCGCAAAACAGAAAACGTGTGAGTGGACAAAAACAAAGTTTGCATTTAAAACAACATAATGACCCCACCATGTAAAAATAATGTTCAAGACATGCAGGATCATACTTCAAAATCAAATGTTCAAAAACATTAATCTCTGAAACCCATTGAACCCAAAAATCGCTCAAACCACAAACTTCATTCCCAAAATTATATTGCTCTTACCAACCCACTACATATACTCTAATTGCTTTACTCTCACACCCATATATATATATATATATATATATATAAATATATAAATATATGTATATCATATACTTCTCACACTACCTAGGTACCGGGGAAACAATCCAACCGGGGGATTGTTTGGCTAGCCCGTAGGATTTACAGGTGCTATCTTGCGTCTAGGGATGAGTGGTCCAACTGGGGGACGAAACTCCATAGCTCACATGCCGAAACTTCCAACACCACGTGTAGCTCCAATACTAAGTCCTACGCGCGCAGACTACATCATCACACACTGGAACTTCCAACGCCTTTTGTGATGATTCGAAGCAATATACATACTTTTCCCATACGCCGGAACTACCAACGCCACGTGTGAAACTAATAATCACTTGTTCTTCCCACACGTTGGAACTACCAACGCCACGAGTGGTTAGCCTAGTAACAAGGGGATGGTACTTACATAGTGTAATCATGCAACTTCTCTCAACAACCCCTCATACTCAAATCCTTCCACAATCTCACCTCAACAACCCAACACATAGACAATATAGCTAGAATTTCCCAAATCCATATAAACATACTCACGATACTCAAATATATCACCACCCAAAACATATTGCCACAGCTTCTAAGAACATCAAATTCAACCACCGAAAATATATATATATATCTCCCATAAACCATTTAAAACATATGCATAAATCTTTCATCAATAAAACCATGCGTATGATTGAAAACAAAGTCCACTCACAGATAATCCCAAGCTGCTCGACCCTGAGAAGGTCCCGCTTGCTGTGTACGATTGATCGGGGCACCTATTTCGAGATACGAACCCTTAATTAAAATAGAATCACTTTGAAACGAAAATCACAAATTAAATACTTAAATCCCCAAGTTCCCGGTGCGTGTACGTAAAACGAGATATCCTAAGGTCCGACTACGGGTTAGGAATTACATCTTGCAGGTGTGGTACGAAAAGGGACAGTCGCAAACCACAACTTCGAATTATTGAATCGGAACATCCGGGTCTCCGATTCACGATCCGCCACCTTGCCCACGTGCCGCCACATGTGCGGGCAGCGCGTGGGTGTGTAGAGTAATTTTCGACGACGAAAATTACTCCACATCACCGTTCACCCTTCCTATCCTAGATACTTCTCGAGGCAAGGATCATTTTATTCAACTACAGAAAGGTCCAATTTGGACGGCAACCGGTCGGAATTTCACTTTGAAATCCGGCCAAAACCTAGGTTTCGAAATCGAGATTCTAGACAACAAATCAATCCAATCCTATGCAACAGACAACTAGAGCTCGAAAAATAGGTGAGAAACCATACCTCACCCGTCGGAATTAGTGGCCAGAGGAGAGAGACCGAGCGGTGAGAAATTCTATCAAAACCGGCTCGTTTTCAACTGATTCTAGCGAGCACAGTGGACGGTGGTGGCTGAGACTAGTCGAGAAATGACGAGGGAGAGGTGGCGGTTCGAACGGGACTGGTCTCGAGGCCAGTCGTTGACTATGGCAGCAGCGGTAGTTATGAAGGGTGACGGCTGTGAGAAAACGAAGGGGAAGGGGGCTGTTCGCGAGAGAGAGAGAGAGAGAGAGAGAGAGAGAGAGAGAGAGAGAGAGAGAGAGAGAGAGGTAGAAAGTGAAAAATCAGATTTTACCCAAACTCTTTTCGAAATAATTACCAGTTTGCCACTGAACTTATTTTGATTTCCAAATCTTCATTACAACTCCGATTCAAGCCTACCGCATGTCTACGGATTCGTCTCAGCATGACCAACCCAAAAAATCCAATCACTGCCCCAAACTCTTCCCGAATAAGAAAATGACCAAAATACCCCTACCCCAAGGGTAAATTCATAATTTCACTTAAATAAATTAAAATAGGAATTAAATTTGAAGTCGGGGTGTTACAGCTTGATTGATTATTTTCTCACATTTTCAAATGTGCATGTGAATGTCCAAAGAAGTCAAATATTTTTTCCACACGATGTACCTTTTGACTACGCTATCCAACATGATTTATAATAATAATAATTATTTTTTTGAATTTATAGGATCGCATTCATAACTCAACTAAAAAAGCCATAATTACAAAGGGCCAATACAAACTAGTCATAAAGAGTCATTACAATAACGGAGAGATCTAACATCAAAATTAAGACAATCTGGTGACCCTCCACTAATGATCACGCATGATCAAAGAAACTCTAGCATAAGAATCCCAACTAAGATTGCAAATTCATAACTAATCAAAAATAGATAAAGCTTGAAAAAAGGAAGCTTACCTGTTCATTATTTGATTTTGAAAAAATCTCTCCAACAGCGTTGTCAAACTTAGTCATCAAAATTGCAACCTCTTTCTCTCTCTTCAGGACTGGTATGTTGACTTTGGCTCTTCAAAACATTTAATTTTACTTTAAAAATGTTAAAAACATGCTACTATTATTGGAGATGCTCTTATAAATACTTATTTAGTGAATAACTTTGATAGAATTGACATATTCTTAAACACTTTCATAGAGTTGATGAAAGTCACCAGTAAATATGCATAAAAAGTATATGAAACACTTTGATTCGATTCAAATTTCGATCCCTCAATTTCCAAAATCGTTCATGTGGTTCTTGAACTTTAGTTTTGTTAGAACAAATGGTCATGTCGTCAATGTTGTTATCTTTTCTGTTAAATGCAGGGGCAAAATGGTATTTTTGTATTAAAAATAAATTTCTCTCTCTCTCTCTCTCTCTCTCTCTCTCTCACTCTTAGGAACAAGGAAGCTTACCTATATACTCAAGATTTAGATGAGAGGAAGAGAGAGCAAAGAGGGCAACCCACAGCCATCCTTCACCCAGCGCCCCTTCCCCTTCAATTTTCTTGTCCCCCATGACCACCGGCCTCCAAACCCCCAACAAACCCAGAACCCCTCCTCCTCCCCCTTCCCCCCTCCAACCCAGGTTTGCTATTCTTCCTTGTGTTTGTGCCTAATAAAACACGGTTATGAACTGATTGAAGGGACTTCCCTTCGGCCCTGGCGCCTACCGTTTCGTCAAGCATTTCGCCCTCCTAAGAGCAAAAGAAAAGCTGCAGAGGCAGAATCCCCTCGGCCTCGCGACCGCAGTTTTGAAGGCCGAGGCCGAAGGCTGTAAAAGACACGGTCTGAAAAGCTGTGGTTGAAACGCCACGTGGCCTCAGGGCCCCATGCTCCATTTAATGAAGTAATGCATTTGACTTCGTAGCAAAACCCTCTAGTCACAAGAAGCATTCAATGCACGAGGGAAGTGACTAAAGTCAGGATTTTGTGATAGGAATCAGGGTGGTTAGACGCAGACATTCTCACAAATAATCTTACGACTTAGGGTCAGGTCACCAACCACCAGACCAGGGGCATTAAATGCGTTCCCACGGCCAAGGGTGCAAAACCCACGATCAAGGCGGTGGCCGAGATTTGCCGAGATTTATGGGGGGTCACACCACCATGCTTCTCAACCCCAGACCACCATGCTTCACGATCCCAAATGCCGATTTGACTACCCACTTGCCCCGGTCAGGCTCCACCACGCAGGTCTCGTCAGCCTCGAATGTCCCTCCAGGACTCCTATAAATACTAAGCTCAGGACTACATTCAAAGGGTTCAAACACCAAAACCAAAAGCCTCCCACGGAGCAAATTATATTTTACTGTAATGCACTTTCAATACCTTTATTTGCTTTCTTAGGAGTAGTGGTAGACTGTAAGGAAAATCTATTCATCAATATATCATACGACCCTTGATTTTCAAGGCGTCGAAGCACCATCTCTGTTATCGCCTCACTCACCCCATATATCATACGACCGTTGCTCTCTGAGCAACGCGCCGGAGCACCGCCTAAAACCCGCCACCAAACGGCCTTGTAGTTCAGGCCGTGAACCTGACGGCCGAGATTTGTTCCTCACTCGGCCACGATCGTTTGATTAGGAGTCAAACGCAAAACAGGCGCAACATTTAAACCATCTTCTAACCCGAACCTCATCATCATCTCGACGCACGGTAGACCGTGCTGGCATGCCCGCGCACAACCGCACCGCATCCAAAAGGAGGACATCACGTGTTGACGCACATCCCCTCGACCCGGAGCACCAGGTCGAGAGATTTGCGACGGACCAACACCTTGACCTTTGTACAAAAATCAAAGAGGGGCACCAGGTGGAGGGTGGCTGTGGGGGAAGAAATCGGGATAGAGGGAGGGAGGGGAGAGAGAGATATATATATATATTTGTTTTTTTTTAAACCATTTTTGTTTTGTTTTATATCATTTTGCCCCTGCATTTAACAGAAATAGTTAACAAAATTGACGGCAGGACCATTTGTCATAACAAAACTGAAGTTGAAGGACCATGAGAACTTTTTTGAAATTAAGGGACTAAAATGCGAATTGGGTCAAATTCGGGCACCAATAGACCTAAAAACCCAACTTTTTAAAAGTCATTAACTCTTTGGATAGCCTAAAAAACTTTTAAAGACTTTTTAAAAGTCATAATTGGATACCGTCAAACTTTTAAAAAGTCATAATGGAATACCACTAGACTTTTATAAACTCATTAAAAGTTTAAATTGAATACTTCTAGAGACTTTTAAACTCTATACAAGTTATTAAAAGATTGAATTAGATACACCCTCTAGGCTTGAAGGAAAAAAAAATTGAAAATCTCGAACCTTCTTCACCCACTAGCTTTCAACTGATTTAAAGAGAACCAAGCTCTCTTAGAAACACACTTTCAAAACAACTACTTCGTATTGCTAGTTGAACATAAGAACCCTACAGAGAGTAGAAGACTTTCTTTTGAGCTTTCATCAATGGCAGGTATGTACTAGTACTATTATGATTAATATTTTTATTTGATTCAACTAAAGTTCCATTTATTGAAAGATCGTCTTTTAACTGATTTTGGAGCATTTTCCCAAAGTCCACTTATTTGAAGATCCTTTCCATTTTTTCCTTAACATATATATAAGATTGGAATCGAGATCAAGCTGAACAACTGCTCAAGGAGGGGCTCAAGGTCAAGGAGGAGAGGGCAATAACCCGCCGGGTACATCGTGGCTCTGGAAATGAATATGGAAGCAACCAGACCTTCAACACTTCTGGGAATATAGTCATCGGACATGATAGCACAGAGTCTGGAATATTGAACTTCGGGAATGGAGCTTCGGGTGCAAACTTCAACACTGATGACAATTTTACTTTTTTAAACAGATGCAATCGTTTTGGGATTACCGACTTTGGCAACATGAACTACAAAAAGTCGTCGACCATCTTATTTCTTCTTGTTCTTGTTCTCCTTCTTTTACTCCTTTTACATAAATTAAAGGTGAGTAAGCAAAACTAAATGAGTGAAGCAAACTGGCTGAGTGAAAAAGAAGGCACGAGAAGGATGAAAAACAAAAAGCGAGAAAGAAAGGAGAGGCTTGGAGTTTCCCACACTATTACCCATCGGAAGGGTTTGGGGATGTATGGCCAACAGTGCAAGTTGCAACTACACTCAAACTTTGCATTCCTTTCTCTGAATCTGAATCTTATTTCTTTTATATTTCTGTATTTCTTCTTCTTCTTCTTCTACATGTCATAAGTATATTAATGCTGAGTGAGTATTATTTCTTCTTGTCTACATGCAAAAAGTACTATTTCTTTTCACGCCAATGAAGAGCCGTGGTCAGACGATAAGCGACCACGGTGAGCAGAGTTAAAGGTTTTTATTAAGTGTGTTCAAATAATCTAGCGACGGTGAACCAGTTACAGTGGAGCAGATATACCCTTGGAAAAAAAAGAAATAAAAAATCTGAACAAAAAAGGAAAAAAGAAAATTAAAAAGTTAAATCCCAGTCAACCAATTTTATTAATTGACATGCACATAAGTGTTGAGAGTATTTGTCCCACATTGAAATGTTAAGGGACCAAGCCTGGGTTTATAAGGAGTTGGGCTACTCCCCCCATTGCCAATTGATTTTGGGGTAGAACCTCAACTTCCTTCAATAAGCTGCCACATAAAGTGGTCAATTAAGTGTGTTCAAATAACATTATTGCGGCAAAAGATTCACTAGTGTAGTGGTTTGAAGTAATTGCTCCCACATGCATTGGATTCGAGTCCTAGTATCTGTGACATGTGTGTGTGAGTTTAGTATATTATTGTCTCTCTCAATAGAAAAAGTCCTACTGCAATTGCTGCTTCTTTTTCTTTAAAACGGTAGGCCTTACTTGCTTGATTTGCAGACGGCGGCTACCTCGTTGCAGAGGCGCTGTGTTAGTACGAGGAAGAAGATGAGGATTTCTGACTCTTTTTGGTCTTCTCAAAACACACTGAACGCCGTCGTGTTCTGATCCATAAAAAAGAAGGAAGAATGATGTCATTGTCACGTGGGTAAAGCCCACTAAGTTTAGGTGAAACGCGGGTTTGCTCTTTAAGTTTTTTAGTCAAACATGCTTGGTATCATTTTGTATTGTAATTAAAAACAAATAGCAACTAAATCGGCTAAGGCCTGGTTTCATGATAATGGTTAATGGGTAAATTATTTAAAATGTTTCTCCTATGGGCCAACATAATGTGTTAATTTAATAATAATTCTTGTTTTTTTTTAAAAATTTTCCTTCTCTCATCTTTTTCTTTTTTTTTCTCTCTCTCTTTTCCTTCTCTCTCCTCTCTCTCTCTCTCTCTCTCTCTCTCTCTCTCTCTCTCTCTCTCTCTTTTCTAATTGGAGGAGACGTGACACTAGCTTGAAATATTGCAGAAAGAGAATCAAAAGTTGTCAAAGATGATAGATTTTTACTCTACGGACATGCAAGAGCAGCTGGAGGCCTTGGATCGACCGGCTAAACGTGCGTGAGGAGATCCAAGTTTTGCTAAAGCTAAGAAAGTGATATTTGGAAGCTCAAGTGATGAGCCCCAAGAAGACTTGTATGTGCTTGGCTTTTGTATGTTTTAAAATTAAAATAATGATTGTATGTCCTTAGCTCTTGTATGCTTTAATTAAGTAATAAAGAATGTTTTGGTTAATTAGTTTAGTTTTTGTGTGTGTTAGTTTTTTATTTATTATTATACTTAGCTAGTTTGGTTTTTGTGTTAATTTTCTTCACATTTTTTGTCAAACAATCTTTGTAGATTGGTTAATAATAATATGGTGTATTCTAGATTTGTCTAAAAAAAATTGTGAGATTTTATACGTTGACCCTCGAAGAGGAAATTCCTGGATCCGCCACTGCCTGCTTTGCTTGAATAGAAACTCCAATCAAGGAAAATGAATAAGCCACAAATTGTAGTCATCAGATGCTTTTTCATTAGATTAATGATTGGCATCTTGAAATGTATATAAATCACATATATGTTTCCATATTGATATCTTGAAAGTCATTTCTAGTACCAACCAATAAAAGAATGTTCTGTCTGCAAATAATTCTTGCTCATTCTAAGAAGAGTGCCGCTAAACGAACCCTAAAATTAACTGAGTACACCCTTTACCAAATTATTTATTGAATTATTAATGTACCCTAATATTAAAATGACCAAAAAAAAATTAAATTGTGAAACAAATGTAATTTTAATAAGTAGACTTTAATTTTAATAAGAAAAGGCCACCAAAAGAAAGAAGTGGAGAACGAAATGGTGAAGCCATGACCCATGAGGGAAACATGCAGACAAACACTTATCAACCTCCATCAAAATATCAGAGATTTGTAGAAAAGATGTTGAAACAACTTCCTGGTCCCATAAGAGACCCACGCAAATTAAAGGGAAGAAAACCTAGGGATAGCTACAAACTTAGTGCAGGAAACAAATGATGAACATTACAAGACAGCTGGCTATGTCAATCAAAGAGAAGATTTAAATAACATTGCAACACCACCAAATAGACCAGCATATCATTGGACGTATCAACTTGGGAAGAAAGCCCTAACAAGTCACTGACATATCAGAAATTTGTGACAGTGGTGTTGAAACGGCCAACATTATTCAACTTGAAATTAGAATTAAGAATCAGGCAGCGTTCAAATTTGGTTCCTGCTTCAAGTGGCGAGTCACAAGAATTTACAAGAATCAAGCTTTGAATTGAAGGAGTTAGCAAATCTATTCTTACAGCAGCTTACGAAATTAAAGATTTTGATGCAAATCCAAAATCTGAAAAGAGGACACAAATTCATGTAAAAAGAGAAACCTCGTTTAGGATTAGGGTGTACCATGGGTGTTTTTGATAGTTAAATAAGGTGTACTTAGTTAATTTTACATTTTGATTAAAATATTAGAATGTACATGGACCATAGGGTGTACTTAGTTAATTTTAGGGTTCGTTTAGCAACACTCTAAATAATATCCAAGGGCAGAATGTAGAGACTAGATCCTGAACTTCAGTCCGGTGCAAGATTTGATAAAACACTGCTTTGATGCAAATTTTATAAGATATTTCTTACCAATGAGGCTAAAAAATGAGGGGTTATTGTGATGAGATCTTTAATAGTCGTTCCATCAAGTACAAAATTATTAGTAGACTACTGGATTAAATCCCCTCATTATAATCCCTGAACATAACCCGTTATAAAAGCTCCCTATTTCTTACTCCCATGAATATTAGCCCACCCCTTTTGCAAATTTTATAAGCTAAGTAGCCCACCACTTATTGTATTTTATTCAACAAAGTCGCATGCTTGCTGAAGATATATTAATATAAGTTGTTACTTTTTGGTTGGTGTTAGAAAACAACTCACGTGAGTGCCTTTTGTATTGTCTGGTTGGTGTTAGAAAACAACTCACTTCTCTCAATTTTGTATTGTCTGGTTGTCTTTTTATTACTTTTTCCTTCACTTCTTCTCTTTGGTCAATCACTTCTTCACTCCTCTTCACTCTTCTGTGTTCTTTTTCCAGTTCTCACTTCCCACACACACTCTCTCTCGTATCGTTTTTTCTTCTCCAATTCCTCTATTGGCCAACTACCACTATAAGAAAGACAAATATTTGTGGCCAGCCAATTGGCACTACTACATTTTATTATTTGCGCGATGAAGACAAATTCGTCGTGCAAGCATCACTTATGCGACGGAAGAACAGATTCGCCGCACAAAACTACAAACTCTTGCGCGACAAAATAACGAATCGTCGCGCAAAGTGGGGAAGAAAAACCCGGGAAATTTTTCTGGGCGCCAAACATTTGCGCGACGATATATTTCATCGCACAAGATTCCATGGCGCGACGGTTACATTTTTCGTCGCACAAAAGTGGACAGGAAAAACTGCGATACGGATTTTGTGGCAGAAAACTCTTGCGCGACAGAAATTTGTTCGTCCCACAAAGTACGATGTCGGCAAGTTCTCGGGCGACGGACATTTGCGTTTGCGCGACGCCATTTAATGTTTGTGCGACGAATATTTGCGTGACGAAGTGTACTCTTTCGTCGCACAAAATTTCGATGTTGATAGGTCTTTGCGCGACGGAAAAGTTGTTTTGCTCGACGAAAAATGATTATTTTATGCAACGGAAAAGTTGTTTGCGCGACGAAATAGATACTTCATCGCGCAAACTTCTTCTTCTACATATCTGCATTTCGCCATTACAGAGTCAGAATGCAAAGAAAATTTTGAAAAATCTGTCTGTGCTGTGCTGCGCTACTGTCTCTGCTGGGAATTCAATACGCTCATTGGGTAAGTATTATTTGTCGTTTGTTTAAAAGTATTAATGTAAATTCGTACTAACGGTATTAATTTTGTTCTCATTATAGACATTTGTAATTTGCTATTGTGGAGAACGATTGAGAAAATATGTTATTCATTTTATATTACATTATTTACATTATGTTGAACTTAGTTTGTTATAGTTATATTTTTTGTTGTGAATTTATAATATGTTGTTAAATTGTGCGTGTCATAGCACAATGTGGTGTGATGTATGAAGTTAATTGAAATTAACTTCGTACTTTTATTATTATTTTTTAGTAACACTTAGTTTTCCCGTTCGAGGTTAGTTGGATTTCGTGCATGGATGCGTAAAGCATGACTGCGGTCCAATTAATTCTTAAATTGTCCCATTATTTGGACAGTTTGGTAATGCATAGTGTTGTCACGTAATCTACGGTTACAGGATTAGGTTTCGATTGTGGAGATTTCGGTGTCATCTCGGTACGTTCTTCGGGTGGTACGTAGGTATTTATACCTATGGCCACCTCAAGAACTGTATTGAGATGCTGGCGAAATTCATCCACGTCGAAATCTAATCTCATGTAGCCGTTGGTTACGTGGCAGGACTATGCATTCCCGAATGGGATAGGGCCCTTACCGGAGGCATAAGGTGAAATTATAACTTCATATGAAGTTGTTGTGATTGTTGTGTTGTGATTCTGGTTTCTGGAATTATGGACAGAAGGTGGATACAGAACTCGAACAGATGCGCAGACAAATACTTGGATGGAATCGAGGATTTTATTGAGTTTGCACGTAGACACAACCCGGGTGCAACTAGGAGGTGTAACAACATGTTGTGGGAGACAATTGAAGATGTTGTATTTCATTTGGTAAGGAATGGATTTCATTGAGACATATAGCATTTGGAACCTTCACGGGGAACAATTAGAGCATGTTTCGTCTTCAAATGCCACAAGAGTGGACAATGTTGAACATATTGTGGATGCTTGAAAATGGTACTTAGGTGACGAGAGGTAAATTTAATAACACAAACAAGACACAACAACACAGCAGTCTTCACAAACTTTAAACCTTGACCAAATACACATATGACTAGTCAACTACTAGTCATGAAACAATCACAACCAAGAGAATACACAGAGCATGCCACAATGTACCTGCAATCCTAGAAGATTACTAGTGACAACCTAGGCACTCAGAAGGACCCGTCAATCTAGGCATCCCCTGTGCTAGCAACAACTATGGTGAAAGTGTGTGAAATCATCATTATCATGTAAACATCAAACAGCAGATAAAGATGACTAGTCAACCACCAAGAACACAAACCCAGAAAAATTACAGATATGCAAAACAGATTTTGTTCACCCAGAAACCCACCATTGGGAAAAACTGGGAGTCATCAACCGACCAGGCACTCCACTAAGTAGAAAAAGATTCTTACAAAGGAAACACAACCAAGCTCAAGAAGCACCTAGGTCTATTTAGGAATATGAGCAATACCTCCTTTGTGCAATCTTCTTCTCCAACTTAGCAAAACTTGAAGCTCAGTTCTTCATGGCAATGGCAGCTCCTTCTCCAGCTCGTTCATCCCATGGCACTAGCTTGCAAGCTCCAACACAAACCGAAACCAATATTTGGATTCAAAGGAGAATGACCAATTTCTTCAAGAAACCATACTCTTGAAGAAATCAATCTTGAATCTGACCTAGATATAAATGAGAGATGATTTAAGTAGCTAGATGCAGATTCGGGTTTCAAAAGCAGTTTTTCAAAAAAATATCAATTGGAAAAACTCATAGATGAAATATTTGGTTCTCTCTTGAGGAAGAAGAAGAGAAAGATCGTAAGCCAATCTTTCCAAAACTTCCTCCCCAAAAGAGACAACTGCCAAATGAGAAATATCGTGGCCTTTACAGTCCAACAAATTCCTTAGGTCAGACCACTTGGCAGCTGAGAGAGAGAAAGAAGAATAGGACAAAACAGTTTGTTATCCAACTGGAAGCAAGGATGACTAGTCATATGAGAAATGGATGACTAGTCATCATTTTATGAAGACTGTTTAATGTAATGATATGCAATGCTCAATACCTTTGTCAACTTGCTTGAGCCACCATAGAGCAGAGATTAGAGAAGAGCACCAATAAAAGTTTTCCCTAATCTAGACTTGAGCTTGATAAATTACATTACACATCCTATTACAAAGTTGTCAAGGGAAGCGAAAAGAAAATAGTAAAAACCATAAATTAACAAGCTCCCCCTTTTTGGCTTTCCTTGACAACACACTCTCTAAGAACACTCAACCCAAAACCGAGACTAAGGAGATGATGAAGTGAAGGTACGTGCAAGAACAACCAACCTTCCCGGCACAAAAACAAGCATATTATCACAGAAATTTTAAAACAATATGCAATGTGGGGTTGAGAGTGTTCTCCCCCTTGTTGATAAGGAAAGTGCAAAAAGGCAGAGAGATAGAAACAACATACAAAAGGGATTAACCACAAAGTGAACAGCACATATTCATAGATGGATGACTAGTCAAACAACAGTTGTTTAAAACAGTACAGAACATAGATTTATGACTAGTTAAATACCAGTTGTTCAAAACAGGACAGAACAACTCCCCCAATCACAATGCATAGACTACCCATAATGTGTTTACAAAAACAATCCCCCCTAGCAAAATGCACAGACTACCCACAATGTGATTACAAAACAACTCCCCCTATCAAAATTCACAACCTATCCAGAATTAATCTTCCTATCTAGGACACAGCCAAGAGCAACACCAAGCTAAAACACCAAAGAGCCACCAGAATCCACAGAGTCATCCGAGTCCTCAACAGTAGCAGGAGCAAGCTGAGTATCTGCATCAGCAGCAGGTGCAGGAGTCGAAGTGGATGGAATGAGGCTCAAAAGATGTTGAATATACTCCTCCTTGGCAGCCAGCTGAGTTCTGAGAGAGGCATTCTCAGAGGAAGACGACATAGAAGTGAGAAAGGTTCTGGAAACTTTCTGGCTAAGGGCAGCAGAGGCCTTGCCATAAGGAGCAATGGGAGGATGCCACTGATCGGAATCATGAAATACCACCTCGTTTTTCTCACAAAGGCGTTGAATCAGACAGGGGAACACAAGAGTCCCCTTATGCTTCGTACCATGACCAATGGTTTTTCCAAGAATGGCATTATATAGGATATCACCAAGGGAATTTTATCATGATTCACCATGGATATCATGAGTTGGCAGCAGCAAGAGTGGGATTAGAATTGTTCCCAGTGGGGAGAACATTATGACGGATAAAATCCCACAAAAATTTATAAAAGGGTGATAGGTAAGACTTGATAGGCAGACCTTTAGAGGTCAAAGGCAAGATTGATCAGTGTATGCCATGGATTTAAAAAGATCAACAGAGTATTCAGCAGAAGCAAGAGCAAATTTTGCATAATCAAAACCAGGGCATGATCGAAAACCTAAGACCCGATTGAGAACAGATGGTTTCAGAGTAATGGGGACTGACCTAACCAAAATCTGATACTTTGACTCCTTAGGGTCAGCAGGAAAGTTAGAGTAAAACTCTTGAACGACAGAGATATTAAACTTACCAGAGAGAGAGTTTAGGGCATGAAGGTGGTAGTGCTCCAAAATCTGATTTGCAGATTCCTGAGCCGCCAAGGGAACAACATCAAACTGATAAGTCCTCTCAGGAAAAATTTTCTCTTTGAGACAACCTCATCAAAGAAGGAGGCAGCCGCAAAGACACAAAAGGAGAGGAATCTCCAACAGGAACAGAGGAAGAGGGACGGGTTCTAGGAGCCCTAGGAATTGAAGGATTGAAATCCACCCTGTTAGTGGATTTTGATTTGGGGCGACGGTGGTAAGTGTGGAGAGGCTTGGAGGAAGACATGGCCAGCAGCGGGAAGAAATTGGAAGAAAAAAACAACTGGAAGAAGGAGGAAAAGCAAACACAGAGTGAGAAGGAGGAAGTTGTGACTGGTTTTGAGATTGACGAGAACACAAGAGAGGGAGAGAAACACGATACTGACGAAGAGAGGGAAAAAACCTAAAAAAGGAAAAAAAGCGTAAACGACACGACCCAAAAAAAAAGAACTGCTAAAAAAAAAAAATAAAATAAATAATAATAAAAAACCAAAACGAAAAAAAAAAAAGACGTATCGGTCAGGAGACAAAGCGGATGACTAGTCAACCATAAGAAAGATGACTAGTCAACTTAGGCAAAATTGGCACAGGCAGAACCGGATGACTAGTCAACCACAAATATGATGACTAGTCAACTAAGGCAATATCAGAACGAGCATCAAAAGCAAAACACCCAGATGACTAGTCACCATAAGCATAGATGACTAGTCAACTAAACAGCATTATGACAAACACCAAATAATATCGACCCTGTGAAAGACATGGTTTTGGTTTCTAAAAACACAAGCATGAACTAGCACATATTACAAGTGATCAAAGTTGCATTAGCACAATAGCCTAGACCAAGTCTTCAACACATGAAGGAAAGTGAATGAAAAGAAGAAAAGATTAAAACCATATGCGTGTACAAGATGAACACATGAAGGAAAGTGATCAAAGTTGCATTAGCACATAGCCTAGACAATCAACTCTGAGAGATAGACAATGAGATGCAATTCATGCTCAGAGACAATGCATATTTAGGAAAGAAAGGAGGTTTAGAGCCAAGGGACACAAGAGATGATATCTTATCTCTCTTGGAGAGACACGTATACATGCATTCTTAAGACATGATCATAGTATGGGCTCACAGCAAAAATCAGCACTCTCTATTGACAAAATATTTGATGATTTATTTTGTGTTACTTGCACATCCCGAACATAAGTGCTTTGAATGGCCCAATTTTACGGCTCTTTGCTCTAGATTCTTCAATTAAACCACCTTATACCTTCCCAGAGCGTGACTACATTGGTCACACTCCCCCGTTTTTTTTTTGTTTAAATTTTAAATAGATTGGCTAAGAGAGTGAGACCAGCTAAGAGATAATAACAAGAACAGTCCAAAATGAAGCCGAGATACGTGGCTCACCAAGAGGACAAGATAGCACAATTTAAGTCTCATCTAATAGCATCTAAAACAAGAAAAGGGATTATGCACAAGTCAACAAAGCACAAAAGCATTCAACATTCACACCATCAGAATGAGAGATATGAACAGTGACATATCAACATCAAACATAACAAAAAAATTTGGACTTGACTAGGCAACTACAAGCAAGATGACTAGTCAACTGTTTTGGAATGTGCTGAAGACAAGGAACAACCAGCTAATCAATCAATTGAGCAAAGGCCAATGGACTGGCGAAGTGTAACATGTTTATGAAAGTCCAAAGCCTTGGAGAGTATATCTGCTAGCTGTTTTTCAGAGGGAACAAATTCCAAAGATAAATTTTGTCTTCCACAAGATCTCTAATAAAATGGTGCCTAATGTCTATATGCTTCGTCCTAGAGTGTTGAACAAGATTTTTTGAAATATCTATGGCACTCATGTTGTCACAATATATTAGAAAGCATGATTGAGCAAGACCATAGTCTTCCAACATTTGTCTCATCCAAAGGAGTTGAGTACAACAACTCCCGCTGCAACATACTCTGCTTCAGCAGTGGATAAGAGACAGAATTCTGTTTTGGCTATGCCAAGCAACAAGTTGTTGCCTACATAAAGACCCCCCCGCGGAAGTGCTTTTCCTATCATCACTACAACCCGCCCAATCGCATCACTATACCCAACAAGATTGACACAAGCGTTATAGGTATACCACAAACCCAAACTCAATAGTCCCACTCCATATTTTATGATTCTCTTAATACAAACAAGTGAACTCTTTGGGTCACTTTGAAACCTAGCACACACACCAACAACTAAAGAAATGTCGGGGTCTACTAGCAGTCATAGAGAAGACTCCTCTCTCTGCTTCTATAGAGAGTTTGATCCACACTTTTGCCATGAAAGTTCTCTATGAATCTTAGCACTCGTGCTCATTGAGTTCTTGCAGATTTTGCTCCTCCAAACCAATTTTGTCACAAGATTTTTGCATATTTGGATTAGAGACAAAGATCCCCGCAGGCTTGCTGTGTTTGAGTTGAAGAACCTAAGAAATAAGTAAGCTCACCTCTCAGACTCTTTCAATTCACTATCACTGTACAATGGACTTAACGCACACTCTTGCATCTCACCCCCAGAACCAGGACACAGCCCCACGCCTATGAGAGGTCTAAGCCCGGCGCAGTGCATTCAGGCACAAGCAGACACTTTCTAACGCATCAGATCCACGCACTCCTTCTTAAAATACAGCCTCTTTGTCATCAACAAACACCTTCATAGTAGGCCCACTGGAGCCCGCAGCAACAGTGGGATCACAGCAATCTCTCCTATACGTAGTATGAGGTGGCACATACCTCTCAGTCATAATAACAGACCAAGGGGGACAGCATAGAGGGGAAACACGGCAGCAGAATAGGAGGGAGAGAAGACCGGTGGCGTCAAGTGCAGGCGGGGACGTACAGACGACCGGTAGCTCGAGGAGTCGTGTTTTTTGCAACTTAAAGACCTTTACCGAAACTCTCATCTTGATGCATTGCTATTCTACAAAGGCCCTTGGCTGCCTCATCATCAACACATCTGGGGCATGAGCGAGGACGGACCAGGCGGCCGAACAGAATATTGTTATCTCCCTCCTGTATGCGCTAAAGTGTGAATGCTACCGAAATTGACAGACGAGACATATGGGCAAGAGAGCAATTCGTGCAGTTAGACTACCATGTCATAGCAGACAGGTGCCGGAACGACAAAGGTCTCCATCTAAAGTCAATGCGCTAGGTCCAGTTATACAAAGTGTATCCGGGGAGCCAACAAGTCACATGAGACCCGTCTTACAGTTCGCACCACGACACCTGGGCGGGCGCTGCGAAGCGGGGGTTGGGGTGGGGGCGGGAGAGGAGATAGGCTGTGTGCGGGTCGGGAAAAAGGCCACCACATTAGTTCGCTAGCCTGACGTGATGTGGTGGCTCGACTGAGGCGATGAAGATGCCACAGGACACTTTACTGTAGCAACAGTGGACATGTTCGTCAACGGAGGAGTGGGCTGGGGGAGCGCGAGTCGGTGTCGTGTGCAGTGGCAAGACAACCAGCTCTAACAATGGTGCAAGGTGCTTTCTCGCGATTTGGACGCCAAGACATCACGGGTAATACACACCGGTGTCACCACCGCTCTTCGTCCGCCCCGACTGGGTAGCGCTGGCGAAGGCGCCTAAACAGGGCCTACAACTGCTCCAGCGGAATGCGTGATCTGGTCCGCACCCTTGTCCTGGGGCCACTTCCGTATCAGGATTTCTAAGCGTCGTTAGAAGTGAGAATATACCAGAAGACTTACAACAGGGGCAACACAAGGAAAACTCCGAAATTCGAAGAAGGGAGTCTACGAAGCGAGCCAAATAGATCAAAATATGAATGTGATAACAAAGAACGTAAAATGAGGGACACTAGGCCCTGGTCCTTTCGTCTGTCAGAGAAATCGCGTGTCTGGGAGGCATGCGGGGCGGAGCAAGCACAACCAGCCCAAGAAGCGGCTGTGGTGAGTAGGTATGATGTCAGGTAACGGAGACTTCGTTCGCCACCAAAGGTTGTCGAAACAACTTAACTCGGGTGTGCGCTGAGAGCTGTCTGGCGGAATGCGACAGAGCCACATCGTCGTGCAATCGATCTGGGAGAGCAAAAATCTTGCTAGAGGGGGGGGGCGGGGGGGACATGAGCCTAGCGGCCTGCATGAAGAGCTATGTCGGTCATCCACACAAAGAGTCAAGGGTGCAAAAGGTGGCAACTCACTGCGAGGAAATCGTGAGCCTGAGAAACTGGTGCAAGAAAAACTGCTGTTGGCCTCATTCAGAGCCATGGTCTTGTGCTAATTCTAACAAGAACAGATGACTGGGACATCTTCGCGTTGTTGCAACACAAGTGACAACGACTCTCCATCTGTTGGAACAGTGTCTTTCTCAGTAGACAAGATCCAGTAACTTAGAATAATCAACCATGACAAGAATATATCTTCTTCCACCACGGACCAACGGTTGGATAGGACCAACGTCTGTGAACAATTCTAGAATTACATTGTGTGAATGTGTTTGCCTTTTTTTTTTTTTTTTTTTTTTTTTTTTTTTTTTTTTTTTTTTTTTTTTTTTTTTTTTTTTTTTTTTTTTTTTTTTTTTTTTTTTTTTTTTTTTTTTTTTTTTTTTTTTTTTTTTTTTTTTTTTTTTTTTTTTTTTTTTTTTTTTTTTTTTTTTTTTTTTTTTTTTTTTTTTTTTTTTTTTTTTTTTTTTTTTTTTTTTTTTTTTTTTTTTTTTTTTTTTTTTTTTTTTTTTTTTTTTTTTTTTTTTTTTTTTTTTTTTTTTTTTTTTTTTTTTTTTTTTCCCCCCCCTTTTTTTTTTTTTGGCCCCTGTGGTTTTCTGCCGTTCTTTTTTTTTTTTTTTTTTTTTTTTTTTTTTTTTTTTTTGTGTGGTTTTTTTTTTTTTCCTTCTGCCTTGGCTTAGCCTTGGCATGCATTGCGTTGGCATCTCGTGCCTTGGCCTTGGCATGTCTTGCGAGAGTGAGGCTATTGGAAGCTTGACATGCCTTGCCTTGGCATGTCGTGCCTCGGCATGTCTTGCCTTGGCTTGCGAGAGTGAGGCTATTGGAAGCTTGAGTGAGGCTATTGGCATGCCATGCCTTGGCTTTCGAGAGTGAGGCTATTGGGAGCTTGGCATGCCATGCCTTGGCTTGGCCTTGGCATTGCTGCCGACAGCATGCACAGCATGCACACAAATGTGCTGGAAATGTCGACAGAATTTTTCAAACCTTGTCAAGCCCCATTTTTATTGAAATTTCCTCGCACAATAATTAAACCATAAGTAGTCTATGATTTTTAGGATCTTCTCCAACTTACAAAACTAAAAAATTCCTCCCCAATTTTTTTTTATGATTTTTTGAATTTTACGACTTCTAAAAATAATAAAAAATA